TTTAACATTTCCTGTAAAGTGTCCAATAATAACAAAACCGATAGAAAAAAATAATGTTTTAGGTAGCGTTTTACCGGATATGTTAACAAAACCGGTAAAGCGCCCAATAATAACAAAACCGGTAGAAATAATAATGTTTTAGGTAATTTTTTTACCGATTTTGTTAAAAAATAATAATAAAACCGGTAGCGACTTTCCTTAGAGACTTTCCTTAGCCATATATTAAGTCTGTCGCACGTGTGACTTCCCCGTGATTCGAGGAGTTGGCTTATGGTGTGTTTAGTTCACGGAATGTAAGATTACCTCCGGAAATAGGATTACCGGAATGTAACATTACCTAACACGTTACTGGAATGTTATATTACTTTGTTTGGTTTGTTTGACAGAAATGTAAGATTGCAATGTTTGGTTGATTATAGTGTTTGGTTGATTACAATGTTTGGTTGAATGAATAAAAGATTACTTGAATGTATATTTTACGAAATTGTCCTTATTCTATATTTTTTTAACAAGTATAATTCTAAATATTTAAATGAAAATATTTACATAAAAATTCATCGAGAATATATTATTTTATTATTTTTAATATATATACTTTTTAATTATATATAATTTTTTATAAAATTTAAAAGATAAATCGGTAGAATAAAAGAGTAAATATATCATGTATTATTTTAATTTTAATTAATATTAAATTTTACATAATTTATCTAAAAATATATTAAAATTTTACATCAATATTTAACTAAATAAGCATATGAACATTTTAATAGATGAACCATTTGACTCCTACCAAAATGTACAAATATGACTTTATTATAAATTAATGCATTTACTTTTTAAATGTATATAATTAAATTAAAATTTTATATATACAATTAAACAAAAATCAAAATTATAAATTAATGTTATGTATTTCTTTTGGTACATAATTAATATTTATGTATTATTTACGCATTTAACAAAATTAATGTGTAATTTTAATAATTATCCAAAAAAATCAAAACTTAATTCAAGTGATTCTTAGATAACATATCATCTTAATTTTCTTCTTCCGCCGCAATCAAGCCATCAATATGGGAAAAAATTAAGGCCCCTATTTCTGGTAGCTTATGCATTGCTTTTCTAGCCTTATTATGAGGCTTGCCATCTAATTACCGGAAGATGTCAAAAGTACATAGAATTTTATCAACTCTACATACTACAAGTTAAAAACTACTCGTCCTACAATTTTCCATCAAATTCAGTTTTCTTTGTTTAAAGTCCAAAAGGGCCCTTGCTTGCTACCCAAAGTCAAAATCCAGGGACTAACATCTCAACCTTGATATTACTTAAAACCAACACCCAAAGCACTAAGCAAACCTCCTTTTGAGTTAAAGCAGTTCTAGAATATGATAGAAGGTTTGATAAATAAGAGTCTGCATTTAATGCACCCTTACTTTGAGGATCTCCAAGCTGTATATAATCAGAATATGATGAAACAAAATTATTACTGCTTAAAAAGTTGTTACTATGCATAGGCTTCAATAGATGGGAAAAACTAGTGTTAAAGTAATTTAATACAAACTTACTTTGTTAACTAGAGAATATAACAGCTTACGTTCTTGCTACGGTTTGCTCTTTAGCAGTGCATGCATGGTCTGCAAAATATAAAGTTAAGACATTTGTAATATAACCTAACGGAAACAAGAACTGAAGTACAATAAAAATTTCCAATTACTAAATTTAGGATATGAGATTCCATCCCCCAAAGTAAATCCTTGACCTTGCAAAACACATATCAAGATACTCTAGATTGACCTATGATCTATTTTCAATTCAACTAAATTCAGATGCATCAAGTCAGCTTAAACTACCATGTAAAATGAGAATTCCAACAAAAGCCTTCAACAAAAAGATCAAAAAGCTTTGATAATTGCACAATTTATACAAGGACTCCTTGTAGTCAATCTTCTACAAAAAGTGAGATCTGCTAATGATCACAATTCACAAGTAGTGCATAGGTTAGTACTTAGCAGATAAGACTAACTTTTAGTGAAAATCATTTTAGTACGGCAATAGATTTATTCAGGTTTGTTACAGTCATTGGTACAACTTTTTGAGTTTGAAAATGAAATTAGTTTAGTTTTGAGCTATACTTTGGATGGTTTAGTTTGGATCATGTTGAATAATAAATCACACAAATACCTAAACTAATTTATTCTGGGCTCCAAGGACTATCCTCATTAAAATTTAATAAAGTGACAAACTTAGGAAGCTTACAAATGCCACACAACTGCCAAAAGGGGGAAAAGGTCAAACATACCTCTGCTTCAAACAGTCCTCCCAATACCAGAAAAGAATAAGGGAATAGCCATCTTTTGTCTCTGGAAGCTCATTCACAGGACGTTGTAAGAGTGTTTTTAGCTTTCGATCAGGCAATAACCTGTAAAAATTAAAATGTGCAACAATTGACAAAAACCATCAAACTATGTTAATATACACTTCCCACCTTAGATTTTGGGAAAACTCCGGACCAACTAAATCTAGATATCTTCTAGAAGTGCATAGCAGGGATTCGTGTTTGTAATGTCATAATCTTTAACGCCCACTATAGGACAACTACTATAGATGGGAGGTTACCAATCTTGGGCACATAAAGCTTTTATACCTCCTACCTTAGCCACTATTTACCGATAACTTTCGCTCTATCCTAATATAGCACATGAACTACATGAATTAATGAGATTGAAAAGAAACTCAATAAGAAAGAAATACTTTAAAAAGAAAACCAGTGAAAGGTAAGGAGAGCTAGAGTACTCACTTTGAAATAAAAAGTTATTTTATAGCTTCGAATCCAGTAAATGCATATCGCTTTCCTACTTTTGATACTACTAACCCTATAATTTGAACAATAACAGTTCAGCAACTAGGAGGAAATATCCAGGGACAATTTAATAAAATGCATATAATAATCTGTAGATCAACACATTTTGACATTTGTACACTATTCAAATAAACTCATGAAAATATTTTCAAACGAACAGCATTCAACTAAGCCATTGCCACATATCAAATTCAAGCATACTACTTTTTTTAAAAAAAATTAACAACATGCAAAAGCATAATTGCTCCTCTATATTGCAAGTGAACACAACTAAAAGATCATCAAATGAGCATAAATTCAGTAATGGCCAATGGGTCAAACACACCGTAACCATAGATGAAATGTATTAAAACCATTAGCTCAACAATCATAACTTTCCCAATTCCTTAAAACTTAACAACATCAAAAACATGGAAAATCATACTCAAAACTCCATCAAGCGACTTCAAATTAGCAACAAGATTATCCGCAACCAAGAATGAAAATGTAGAAACTTTATCACTAGTCGTCCCTGACCTCTGACTAGCTAAAACCATCTTCATATCCCCAAACATTCCTTTCGATGATTCATAATCTTTAGCGTACTGACACATCAATCTTCCCCCAAGTTCCATCTTCTTCTTAGCTAATCTATTCAGCTCCTCCACATTTCTAACATCTACAGCCTTTTTCTCCTTCCCATCCTTTCTAAACACTTTCTTTTCCAACTCCGATTCATCCTCGTACCACGCAATCAAAGCACTCGCTTTCATCAAAGGCAAAGCTGGCAAAATCTTGAACTTATCAGGCTCTCTAGAGAACCTACTACTCTGGTTTCCATCTTCAAGAGACCAAACTGGAGGCTTGGGCTTTGGTCTTTGGTTGTTTTTCGTGTTTTTATAAGTTTTTGGAGTTTTGGTATTGTTAGGTTTTTTCTCAAGTTGAGAACTCTGGTTTTTGGCGTTTGGTTTTTTTTTTGGAGGCTTTGGAGGTTTAAGGGGACCATCTTTTCAAAAATCAACATCGTTGAAGCCTGAACAAGGAAGGGAAGAATTGGTGGTGAAGCCAAGAGAGGAAACAAATGATGCTATATCGGATTTCAGAAGCTCAACGTCTTATGGGGTATTTGAGTTCGGTATTTTTGCTTTTGCATTAGGCTTCAAAGTTCCTTCGCAGAAGCAAGCTAACGGGGAGAAGGGTATTTTAACCCATTAAGTACGAGAATAAAGAAATACCTAGGTGAGATGTGGGAATAATATTCCCAGTAATACAGACCTAAACAAATACTGTTGGTATTGAGTTTTTACCATCACTTAGGAATGTGACCCATCCAAACATGGGTATCTTAACTCGGAAAAAAAATATTCCTCTCAAAAATATAAAAATCCGTGAACCAAATGCCCCCTTAATTATACTTCTAACAATTTTCACGATAGGTATTCAATTTATCAAAATCCTCAATAAAAAAAACTACAATTCCTAAAATAAAATCATTCATTTACATTATTTTTGGGTGTTCAATCGATTGTGAAAGTACGTGAATATTGATCGTGGATGGTTGGCCGGTCACATATCATTTGGTGTTCGACCGATTGACGGCGTTAGTGGCGACGAACAGTGGCAAAGGATTTTGAAAGTTTTTTTTGTTTTTCTTTTAGATTTGATTTTTTTTTTCTAAATTATATATTTTTATTTTAAATAAAATTTTCAAAATTAGCATAAGACGTGTCACTTAATAGATTTTTTTACGATGGTTAAGTCCAGACACATAAAATAATAACAGAAAAACTTCAAACACATTTTTAACAAAAAAAATATTAGGCACTAAAACATTTTTTAGACATAATTTAAACACTTTTGTTTTAAGCTTAAATTACATAATTTGAGCACTTTTATTTTAAGCTTAAAATCTAACATAAAATCCCATATCCGTTACTATCCAAATCTCGAAAATCAGTTTTAACCATTAAGGTCTACCTCGATTAACTCGCAGCATGACTATTGTGCACAAGTACCTCTTCAAATCATATAACATAGAGTTCTTTCCTGATTCACGTGGTCATTACGGTGTACTTTGGTGCAGTTAAATTCACCGTTAGTCTCTGATTGCTTTTCGTCTTCATGGTGATGCAGTTAAAACAAATAATAATTTAAGTGAATAGTTTAATAAAAATATGTTATAAAAATATTGAGCTAATTCATAGTATTCTAATAAAAATAAAGAATCTAAACCTTAGTTTTCCTCCAGCTCTCCAAAATTGAAGATGGAGAAGATCTAGATCTGCAAACTCGGTTGCTTACAAAATGTGTTCCACAAGTAACACTGTTAAGAGAATGTGGCTGCGCGCAGCTATTGACTAATGGAAATCATTTCTGAGCCATTCACATCGGGTGATCGGAATCAGTGGCGGCATCTCTTTCTAAGCTTCTTCGTTTCTTCGTCCCTTTCCATGCCTTGACCTCCTGGGTGCTTCGTCCTCGCTTTCGCTGTCATCATTCCTGAAGCTGTTACCGGCAGCAAGTGAATCTGCCTTTTGTACTTCGTGCTGATACCGAGTCTCGTCATCCAATCCACCCCCTGGACCGGTCATGTCCTGTCCTCTACCCTGATCCGATCCTGCACTATATCTATCATTGGTTGGTGTCCGCTGATCTCTCTTAATACCCCGACCAGAATTCTGTGAGGAAGGTGCTGGAAGTCCAGGAAAGGTAGGGTGCATGCCAACAGGTCGGCCACCTCGTGGAGGATTTGCACCTGTAGGCCCCATACCCCCCATAAATGGAGCATGCCCTGGACCCATCATCATCCCAAGTCCACCACCTGGAAACATTGGCCCAGGCTGTGGAGGTCGCCCTGGAAACATCATGCCAGATGCAGAAAACCTTGGCCCGTATGGAGCAAATGGACGGGGAGCACCAAAGAGATCAGGCATCCCAAAACCATCAGGTGCAACTGGTCCATAAGAAAAGCCATCACCACCCATCATCATAGGTGGAAAACCACGCATCCCGGGCATGGGTCTGGCACCACGGCCAAGTGGCATGTGAGGGGGCCACATCATTCCTCTGCCTCTTCCTCTGCCCTGATCTACAGCACCAAAGCTTTCATCTTCCTCCTCACTTTCTTCCTCTTCCTCTTCTTCATTGTCCTCAAACGGAACGATGTCGGGGTTCTCTCCTCCAATATCTGAATTGACTCCCTTTGCTTTCTCTTCTTCACGTTTTGATTCTGCCGCCAGCGAAATAGCCTGCATCCATGGGAATTTTTTAAAAAATTAATACAAACATACATATTCATTCATTGTGGCCAACCAAATATGTCTGTCTCCATGTCTAAACAACCTTCCCAACGAAAATTAAGTACACATAGATTGCTCGTCAATCAACTCATGAGTCTAATCTTGCACCAGTTACTCCCCACAAACACTCGTACACAACTTTATCAATAACGCTACTTGCATAGTATGATTCATTGAATCATACTAATTAGCACCAAGCAGTAAAACACATGATTTGCTTCCCTCCTTGTTAGTCTGTTTTGTTTTTTTCTACTTCTACCATGCCTTTTTTTGTTTGAATTGTTACTTTTTCCACACTTATTCTGATAATTAAATTTCTATTCATGTTCAAACTCGGAAATTAGAAAAATAAAATAGAATAAGCATACCATAAGCTCACTATCTGGCTCAAGATAAAGCATGGATGCTAGCTGCTCCCCAACAGAAGGCTCTAACTCCTGACAATCTCTACTTATCTGCCAAAACACAAAGTAGATCAGTAAGTTTAAATTATAATAAACCAAAATACAATAGCACTGCATGTGGGGATGGGCATGGGACCCGAACCCGACGGGTTCTGATCAGACCTAATCCGATTGGGTTGGGTTTTTTTTATAAAAAAATCGGGTTCGGGTCGGTCAGGTTTTTTAAGGTGACGTTCGGGTCGGGTCGGATTTGGGTTTATGGTGAAAAATACCCGACCCGACCCGGAAAAAAAATATAATTTTACCTTATCTATTTAGGAATAATTACAATAATACCCCTCTATATATTATTTTTTTCAATGAAATCACTGTTTTTATTGAATAAAAATAATATTTTATTATTATTTCGGGTTGGGTCGGATCGGGTTCGGATTTTATCTCAAAATATCGGGGTCGGGTTCAAGTTGGTGGAGGGTATATATTTTTCGGGTCGGGTCGGGTTGGCCGAAACCCGACCCATGCCCATCCCTAACTGCATGCTTGAGTATTGCTTACTGTAGAAACTACTACTGCAGATAAAGATACAAGGTAAAAGCAGATACATAATTCAAAGAAACCAGATCATTAACCTAATTAATTGACAAAATTATTCATCCGGTAAAATTATCCTCAAGCAATGTGAAGGCTTTAACTTTAAAAAGCTAGGAACTATACCTTTACTGGTAGGTTCTCATTGTAGGGGTTCCTCAAATGGCGAGTTTTGTGGAAGGAAAGCTCGCATAACTACATATCAAGAATAACAGTGAGTACAATTATACAAAGATGAGAGAGAGTGTCAGGGAGAAAGTGGGAGAGAGAGAGGTTTTCAGTTGGTCAGTTTTCCGGTGAGGAGTGGACGGTTTTCGTTGACAATCTGAGTAAAAGGGTAACTAGGAAAACTCTTAAGGAAATTTTTCATCAACAGGGGAGTGTTGTTCGTATCTACATTCCGAATAATTCCAACAAGCCGAATTATAGAAATTATACGTTTGCTTTCGTCCAGTTTGCTAATGAGGATGGGTTGTTGAAGGCGGTAGCAAATATTAATGGTATCTGGATTGATGGTAAGAAAATCTCAGTAGGAGTTGCTAAGTACCAGAAGAAGAGACTAAAGTAGGCTGTTAGAAGTAACGACAGTAAGGAAGTTGATAAGTGGAAAAAGGATACGCATCGGAGTAGAAGAGCTGGATCAGAATCTTATAGCCGACTGAGAGATGAGAGATCTTACAAGGATGCGTTAGCATCTTTGGATGGAAGGAGAGAAGGTCCGGCGTCTAAAGTGATTTGGGAAGGCCATAAAGACAAGGAAATAGGGGTGAGGAATTTGTGGGAAATGCATATTCCCCCAGACGAATATGATTGGGTGAAAAGATCAATAACTGGGATCATTAAATCCCATTTTGATCTGGGGACAGTAGTGAAGGGGTTGGCTAGTAAAGGGATCAAGGTCAAGGGAACTAAATGGGGTTATACCTGGAACTCTTGCATTATAACCTTTGGGTCGAAGGAAGAGTTCGAGGAGGAGTGGAAAAACAGAAGGGATGAAGTGTCACTTTGGTTTGACTGGCTTGATCCACTTATGAGTGTAGATGGAGTCCCGATGGCTTTCTGTTCAGTGGAGTTGTATGGAATCCCTTTACTATGTTGTAATGTATCTTTTTTGGAAAAGCTGGTCTCAAGGTGGGGGAAATTGGTGTGTATTCATGAGTCCACGATCAGAAGAGAGGATTTGGCGGTGGCAAGAGCTTTGTTGAGGGTGGCGAGTCCTTATGATATACAGGATTCTGTTACCTTGGGTGCATATGGGAGATCGTATAAGGTTAAGATTAGTGTGGGATCGGTCAGTTCTAAACAGGAAAGTTTTTTTGCAGAAATTCTTCAGGTGGCCGGAGATGGTGTGTCTAGAGTTGATTCTTCATCGGAAGAGAAAGAAGTCCGGAGTTCAGGTGGAGTAGGTAGCCCACAATTGCCAGCTGAGAATTCTAGGGACACAGTAGACAGATGGTTGGTAGGTGATGTCTGCACAACAGTGGCAGGCGGCAGTGGATGTAAAAATTTAATGCTGCAGGAAGGAGAAAGTCAACCTAGTGGTGCTAAGGTGTCAGGTTTTTCTGCAGAAGATTTGAATTTTAAAGAGGACTATAGGGGCCTTGGTCTAAGGAATGTCTCTATTAATGAATCTGAAGAAGCCCATTTAGAGGGCTCGAGTGAGTCCAATACTAATATCTACAGAATAGTACCTTCTGGGCCAGCTGTTAATTTATTAAAACTGGGATATGGTAACGGTTTGGAGTCTCGGGTGGAATTGGCAGGTTCTCAGCAGCAATCTGATTCGAATAAACTAAAGGTGCAGAATTGGGCTAATGTCCCGGCAGACTTAAATCCAAATTTGTTGCCTGCTGGGTCTTCACAATCTAACAGGGAGTATGATTCACCAGCTAATAATCTAATTCCAGGGGGGCATGATGTTAAATTAAGTAGGGTGGAGGTTCAAGGAGAGTTTCAGCATTCTGTTTTGGTAGACTCAAAACTGCAGAATTCGAATACTGATTTGTCAGGTTACAAACATATTTCGATTGAGGGTGGGTTCACGGATAGAGTACATTCTCAATCTGAAGGGATCTCAAATAAGCCAAATAAGGATCTGTTAGAGGAAGTAGTAGTCTTGGAAAAGGACGATTGTAGGGGGGTTGGAACTGAACTGATTAGGGATAGAGACAGATCGCTGTTCCAGCAGAGAAGAACACTTTGTCCCAAAAGTTTGCCCATAGAGAGGAGGAGAATGGCCAGCTATAAAAGACATTATACCAGGTCGAGGGTGAGAATTAACTGGTTTGAGAATAAACACAAAGGTATTACGGTGAGAAAGGATTTGTAGCCTCCTTCAATAAATATGGAAGGTGGAAGGGAAGTGATTTTAAATGGTGCAGCTTATGTGGCACCAAATAATTGTAATAGTTCTTCGGAGGTCTTGGCAATAGTTCCTTTCTCTGCTGTAGGGTCAGGAAGGTCTAAAAGAAGGGAGAGAAGAGTTTTAACAAGGGAAGCAGTTGATATGGTTAATTCTCCTTTTGTTTTTACTCCTCAAATCTCGAAGGCGGTTGAGGAAGCGATGGTTACATGGGAAGTATGTAAAGTTCTAGGAATTTCTTTCAAAGATGGGAAGAAGGCTTTTTTTGGACAAAATTATCAACCTTGAAGAGGGTTCGGCTGAGAGTAGGGAACAGGGGAAGTCAGGGGTTTAGTCTCTATTTCTCTGTTGACTAGCTATAAGGATTTGGTGTAGATCTTCTTGTTATGATAAATGTCAACATTATTTCTTGGAATGTAAGGGGTCTTGGAAAAAAGGAAAAGTCAAGAGTTGTAGCTAATTTGGTGAAGAAGAATAAGCCGAACTTGATTCTAATTCAAGAAACAAAACTAGAAACTGTTTCTTTGGCTCTTAGAAGAAGGATAGGGGGGAGATTCCTTAGAGGAGGGATTGTTGCGCCAGCAGTGGGATCTGCTGGTGGATTGATGATTATGTGGAATGAAAATGATTTTTGAATCTGCTGGTGGATTGATGATTATGTGGAATGAAAATGATTTTGAAGTTTCGAACAGCCATCTTAATGGCAGATTCATAGCAGTCTTTGGGAAGTTCAGAAATTCAAGTGAAGAGTGTCTGATTATCAATGTATACGGTCCATCAATTGAAGCAGAAAAGGAAGATTTTTTCAGGGAATTGTTGGAGTTTGTTTCGGCTCAAAATATGTTAGTGTGTATTGGGGGAGATTTTAATGTGTATCTTGATCCGGACGAGAAGTTGGGAAAATCACAAAACTGGCATTCTATTGATTTATTTAGAAACTTCTTACAGCAATCACATTTAATTGATCTACCTTTGGTGGGAGGAAGGTATACTTGGTGCAATAATAGAGAAGACTCGACTTGGGAAAGACTAGACAGGTTCTTAATCTCTGGGACGTTTCTGTCATGTTTTCCAAATGTAGTGCAAAGTCTCTTGCCTAAATCCCTATCTGATCATAATTCAGTCTCATTAGAGGACAAAGTTGTTAATTGGGGACCGAAACCATTCAGGTTTTTTAATTATTTACTAGAGGAGGAAGGATTTGAGGAATTGGTTAAATCTTCAATGCTTGCTATGAGGGGGGAGAAATAATAAAAGGGGTATTTTCAGTATCTTAAAAGGTACTAAAAATTCAATCAGAAAGTGGTCCAGCAGTAAATTTATTGGGATCCCTGAGTCGATTTCTGATTTAGAGAGGAATATTAATGAATTGGATCTTAAAGCTCAAGGTGGAATTCTTTCGAAGCAGGAGTGGGATCAGTTGAGGCTGTGTAGGACAAATCTATGGAGGTTGTATAGGACAGAAGAAAGTATCTGGTTTCAGAAGTCAAGGGCGAGATGGATCAAGGAGGAGGATAGGAACACAAGGTTTTTTCATCTGTCTGCTCTGAACAGAAGCAAAAGAAATGAAATCTTAAGCTTGAAGATAAATGGGAGTGTGGTTTCAGATCCTCAACAATTAAAGGTACATATTTCAGAATTTTTCAAGGCAGCCTATAATTCCAATTCAACATTGGAAACGGAGGATTTACTACTGGATTTTGCTAAGCTATCAGGGGATCAGTCTAAGAAGCTTGAAGAGCACTTCTTAGAACAGGAAATTTGGCAAGCTATAGTTTCATCAGACAGCTCTAAAGCTCCAGGACCAGATGGTTTCACCATGGGTTTCTTTAAAAACTGCTGGCCGATTTTTAAGCACGTGTTGAAATTTTTTGAAGATTTCTATTTTGGAAGGAAATGGGAGCACGGTATAAACCATGCTTTTATCACACTTATTCCGAAGAAGCTTAATCCGGTCAGTGTAGAGGAATTTAGACCAATCAGCCTTGTAGGCAGCCTATACAAGATACTTTCTAAAGTTCTATCGAAGAGACTGAGTTGTTGTGTTGGTGATATTATTAGTCACTCTCAGTTTGCGTTTATACCAGGGAGACAGTTGCTGGATTGTGCTTTTATAGCAAACGAAGGGATTGATTACTGGAGGAAAAAAGGGTTAAAAGGGGTTGCCTTCAAAGTAGATTTTCGTAGGGCTTATGATTCCGTGGAATGGCCAATTTTAATCAGAGTAATGTCAGAGATGGGTTTTGGTAAGAGATGGTTGTCGTGGATATCTCAGTGTATTTCAACAGCTTCAATCTCAGTTCTCGTAAACGGGTCTCCATCGGAAGAGTTCCACATGGCCAAAGGACTTAGGCAAGGGTGCAGTTTATCTCCGCTACTGTTTAACATTGTAGGTGAACTGCTTAATTTGATGATATCTAAAGCAGTGGACAGGGGTCTGTTTCAAGGCTTTTTTATTGGGGAATCTGAAAATTCTGTTCGATTGACACATCTACAATTTGCAGATGACTTGATCATCTTCTGTCAAGCATCTCTCTCCCAGATTAAAAATGTCGAGAGAGTATTGAGGATTTTTAGTGTTATGACAGGGTTGCATCTTAATCTAGCTAAGAGTAAGCTATTTGGTATTAATGTGGAAGAGGAAGTTTTATCAGAATGGGCATCTTCGGTGGGTTGTTCTATTGATTCTCTTCCAACAGATTACTTGGGACTTCCTCTAGGTGCTAAGAAAAACTCAGAAGCCTTATGGGATCCAGTTTTCAAGAATTTTAGTTCCAAACTAGCCGGTTGGAAAGCTAATTGTCTCTCATTGGCGGGCAGGACAGTTTTATTAAAGTCGGTGTTAACATCCCTACCAATTTTCTTCTTATCTCTTTTTAGAATGCCTTGTAAAATTGGTAAGAAGCTTAATTCTTTAATGGCCAGTTTCCTATGGGGGGATAATGAGGACAAAAGGAAGATACACTGGGTTAATTGGAAATCAGTCTGCACGCCTCTAAATTGTGGTGGCCTTGGTGTTCTTGATGTGAACCTTTCTAATCGGGCTCTTTTGGGAAAATGGGTGTGGAAGTTCGCCAATGAAAAAAATACTTTGTGGAAAAGTGTGTTATGTTGCAGGCACAAGGTAAGTAGTAATTCCATGTCTATTTGTAAGGTTTTTTCGCCCAAATCTTCTTGGATTTGGAGAGGGATAGCCAACAATTTCTTGAAGAACGACTCGGAGGGTGAACGTATCAGATCTAACTCCAAGTTGAAACTGGGAAATGGAAAGTCTATTGCATTTTGGACGGATTCATGGGCTGATGAGTCTCCTTTAAAAAATCTTTTCCCTAGAATGTATGCGTTGTCAACAAATAAATGGGGTATGGTCGCTGAGTTTGGAAGTTCAGATTCGAACGGTTGGGTGTGGAACATCGATACCAGAAGGAATTTGTGTGACTGGGAGTTGGATCAGTGGCTGGATTTAATGACAAAACTGAAGGACTTTAAACTGACTGATTCAGTTGAAGACTTTCTTTCTTGGTCTGCAAGCGGGGATGGACTGTTTTCAGTGAAATCTTGTAGAAAGGAACTCGGCAAGGTGTCTGGGGAGTCCGATTTATGGTTAAAAGGGGTGTGGCAGGGTTTATCTCCTCCTCGTGTTGAAGTCTTCCTGTGGCAGCTAGCTCATCAGAAAGTGGCAGTGAGAGAGGAGTTGGTGAAAAGAGGTTTGCAGCTAGGGGATGAAATTCTATGTTCGTTTTGTAAAAAAACAGGTGGAATCAGTTCAGCATTTATTTATTTCGTGTGATGTTGTTTGGGAACTTTAGAACAAGATAGCAAGCTATTGGGATATAGCCTTAGTCCTTCCAAAGGATCCACCTTTGCTATGTTCTTGGGGTGAGCTGAGGGGGAAATCGTTGATTTGGAAATTTATCCCGGGAGTAGTATTTTGGTCGATATGGAAAGCTAGGAATGCAATGGTGTTCGAAGGTTCCCCCTTGGATAGGATGTCTCTGTTTTTTATTGCTAGATTCAGGTTATCTAAATGGTTTCTAGCCAAGTATCCTAAGTGTCCTATTCAGGAGGATGTGCTGATTGGTGATCCATCTCTTGCAGATGGTATTAAAGCTCTTAACATTTACAATTTTCAGGTTTCTCGCTGGATTCCACCCCCTATGGATTTTTTGAAGATGAATGTCGATGGAGCTGTTAGACTTGATGGCTCAAATGGAGGTATAGGAGGTATTTTGAGAGATTGGAATAGCAATTCCCTTCTGACTTTTTCAGAAAATGTAGGTCAGGGTCCCCCGCCGGTTGCTGAGTTAAAGGCTATTAAGAGAGGCATTGAAATCTATATGTCTTCTTGTTGGGTTAAGGTTGGAAGGTTGATTGTGGAAAGTGACTGTAAGTCGGCTGTGGAATGGGTCCATACCCCAGCTTTGGCCCCTGTTTTTATCCTCCCATTAGTTAAAGAGATTTCATCTTTTATCTCGGACAGGGTGCACTCAATTAGACTGATTCCAAGGGTGTGTAATGGGGAGGCTGATAGTTTAGCAAAGATGGGAATTGGTTGATGTTTAGTCGTTTCCAGTGCGTTTTATCGTTTGAGTTTAGGTTTTTGGTTCTGTTGAGTAGCTTAGTCTGTTGTGTTTTTTCAGTATGGTGTTTATGTTAAATCTTATGTAATTTCGGAGGAGTAATAAAGTTTCTAAGGCACTCTTTTCCTCCTTCTTGGATCAAGAAGGAGGTTTTTAAGGAGGCCTGTCATTCTTATCAAAAAAAGAATAACAGTGAGTAATCAGAAGCTCATAGCATTTGTACAGAATATTCTCTATGCATGCCCCAGAAATTCAAAATAATACATCTAATAGGGGGCATTAAACTAATCAGCAACTAAAAATGTAGAAAAATTAGATCTGATAAACAGAAATCATCAAAAGAAGCACCGTGCTAAGAATATCTTTAACCTTTTTAGTTCCATAGAACTTAGTTTCATGGAGAATTTTGTTCCAAAAGCAGAGGAAGAAGGGAGAGGGGTGAAGAAATGTACCTTTAACCATTTTACTGGGAAATTCCGTCCATAATGGGCAGTTCCATGAGCATACTTCCAGTTCCCTCCACCAACAGATCCACCAATTTTGGATGTCATCTTAGCACAACCCTAATAAGCCAAGACAGTGTAATAATAAAACATCATAAGAGACAAAAAGGCAAATTTTGTACTAATACTATCATAAGACCTAACTGAGGACTTACTGGATAGAAAAGCTAAACATAATAAGACATGCATAACATAGGTACTGATTCTCGTATTAAATAGACAGAGGACTGGAGATATAGATTTCTGAAATACCTGGAAATGTCGAGTACGGTTAACAGAGAATATCAAAATAACATTTTCAGCAGAGTCAAAAGCTTCATTCAGTTTAGCCTCATTGCTTCTTTGAGTTGCCCATACTCCTTGTTGAACAGATAGTTCCAGATTTTCACGGTTGCAACTTTTAACAATAAAATACCTAAGAAGCCATATTCAAAAGTAACCAATCATAACAAAGTTACTCATAAAAATGACATATAATTCAACACAGAGAATAATGTGAGATTCAGGGGAAAAAACAGAATAGCATATAGAACCGTGTACAGGTTATAACTTATAAGCAGAAGGCTGCCATAGGCTAAGATGAATGCTAACAATAGTAGTTAACCACTAAATCAAAGTAAAAAGGTATTATAATAAATCATTCCAGTCAAATGCATATTACTGTTATGATTGTTCAATTATAAAGCTAAATTTAAACTTTAAACATTTTTAGGCATTCTAGTTCTCAACTAGCTCAACGCATAGAAAAATCAAAGCCAATACAATCACTAGTTGAAGAAGCTTAGTTAAACTCAAGCATAGATTAAAACTTTAGCATCTTATGCTGACAACTGAGCATTTTAACAGGATTGCAGATTACAACCATAACATCTTCTTGTACTGATTCTCAACTCTAGATTTAACTACTAAAAATTAAAATCAGAAATTATTCTCTATTGTTCATGAAATCACTTTCTTATTTCTATTATATTCTAATCTATCCCTTCTCTCATTGAACCACACCATTATTTGAAGCTGTAAACTTGTGTGAAATGTGGCAAAATGAGCATGTAACAGAAAAGTGACCTTTTTCAGATTTCTAAAAAGGGGAAGAGAAAACAAAACACACAAGGACCAGAATACATCACATACTAGTAAACAAGATGGTCCGGGTGTAGAAAAATGCTTCAATATATATATACATACATACATATATATATATATATAAAGCAAAAACAAAAAGAGAGACATTATTTTTCGTTCCTCACCCTTGTATGCCATAAAAGAATAAACCTTTCCACTACATTTTTTTGGGGTTATATCTAAAGCTGCAAAAAGTTCAGATACAATAACTTCATTACTTCTGTAGACATGAGAAAATAGGAGAAAAAAGGTTAATTTATCCAACTCTTAGGTCTTAGCTGTACTATCTAAGTAAAAGGTTTACACATTTTTGGATCACCACAAAATAAATAAATAAATAAATACAAGAGCTTGAGGGAGTAAAACAACACAGAAAAGAATAGCAAACCATTCAAAATATAAGATCTGAATAACACAGAATAAACATGTAGAAAAAATAGCAACTAACTATTTTAGGTTCTTGTGAAACTAATTACACCTGATAGATGATGTGTGAATTCTTTTGGGCAATTATTGTTCACTTAAGGACTCGTCATAACTCTATCCAAAACAAATACAATTAATGATTTACAGAACCTGGTTAAGACCCCAGGACACACCTAGATATTCCTTGCGGCAAAGGTATAGCACTTCTGTTCGTCTGGTTAGACTGACTATGGGGGACATTTTGTATCTGTGTCTGGCTGACCTGTTGTTGAGGCTGTTGAAATTGCTGCTGCACATTAGCAGACTCTGTTGTTGAAGGTTTTCCAATTGCTCCTTGGTTTACATTGCTTTGTCCTTGTGGAATCTGAGATTTTTCAGTCTGTTGGGAGAAGCCAGCATTCCGTTGTTGAAAAAATTTGTTGTTATAATTGTAAGAAGTCAATTGCTGAATCTTTTGCAGGACTTCTTCCACAGAAGGTGGAGGTCCAGGGAGCTTAGCATGCCTATATCGGCAGTCGGAACCATTAGGACAAAAACCTAGCTTGTACCTGCAACCATGAAATTCAGTATAAAGATAATTACTGCTAAATATTCAAAAAGTTCTATGATTTCTGTTTTGAGACGCATCAAAAGCAAGCTATTTGGCAATTCCAATAAAACAAAAAATGGGGGTCCAATGACTTCAAAAACAAAATAACCGTCCGTTTCATTTAGCTTTCCCTAGGTAAAGCATAGTTTCTATAAGCTATTAACTAAATTCACTTGAAGATAACAATGATAGAATACTATGGTTCATCTTACAAGGCACATTTAATAGAAAATAGCACTTTGTTCTAGCCATTTCTAAATCTTCTTTCGTGACCCAAATCCTAGAAAAACTAGTGCAAGATATTGAACGGATGTAAAAGGAAACAATAATAATGCAAGCATAAGCCCTGAAAAACATACATGTTACACTCCTTGATGTCCTCGTTGGTGTGTTTATAAACACAATCTTGTTCCCTGCACTCACCAGAGAGCCTAAAAAATCGGCAGACCGGCATACGGGACTTGTCGTACTGGTGAAGGAAACCGCAGGCATCACCCTTCATGCAAAGGCTGCGGAGCCAGTGGCGGCATACAGTCTGCCGAAAGCTCCTTCGCCCAGCTCCGCCACCTGAAACGGCGGGGGAGTCATTCGTCAAAGCAGGGGCAGCGCCTTGGGCGACGGGGTTGTTGTTGTTGTTGGCTGCAGAAGGATCGGAATTGATGACAGGCATGGAGGCGGTCGGGGCGGCGAGACCCACATCAAGACCGCCTTCGAAATCGAAGCTGAGACCTCCCTCCGCGTCATCCATAGTGGCCGCGCGTGATTATTTGTTGTTTTTCCCTTTTCCGGTTTGATTTAGGGTTTAATGTATAAATCTGTGAATTTACCAGTATTTTATGTAAGAAATAAAAACAGTAGTTATTTATTTTAAGGGTAAAGTATAGTAATGGTCACTGAACATTTCAGAATATTGCATTTAGGTCCCCTAACATTTAAAACTTGCAATACAGTCCCCCAACATTTATTCCGTTTGCAATATGGTCCCCCAACTTAAACCACAGTTAGAAAATTAGGATAAATTATATAAATGGTCATTGAACTTTTCAGTCACTTGAATTTAGGTCCCCCAACTTTTAAAACTTGCAAAACAATCATCAATTTCATTCTAACCCCATTTCCAAAGTAATTCAATTTTATTCTAAACCCTAAATTCCAAAATACTTAAATTAAATTCAATTATGTCAAAGTTATTATTATTTAATTTCATCTTATTTCATGTGATACGTATTTTTTATATAAATATAATAGTATAATTCTTATCTGTTGAAGAAATTTTTTAATTAAAAAAAGTAGTTAGGATATAAAAGAGGTTGAAAATCATTCGAATTTTAATTTATAAAATGTTTATTTTGACGTATAAATAAAAGTGTAAACTACTCGGTTGACAACTTAACTATCTAGCCCTTTTTACTTTTGTCGTCGATCTTTTAAATTTATCAATCATACCACATAATTATTTAACTGTTTCAACTAAGCCACTAGTCGTTACCAATTGATAAAAATGATGATGTGGCAGTTAAAAGGAATTGACATTATTATACATTCAGTCTTTATTATTTATATAATCAATTTGGTCCTAAATTAAATAAAATTTAATAAATTAATCATTTAATTAGGATCTGACATGTGTTAGCACATGATCATGACACGTGTCATTGGTGACACGTGTTACCACTTAATTATTTATATATGCTATCAATTTGGTCCTAAATTAAATAAAATTTAATAAATTAATCATTTAATCAGGATCTGACATGTGTTAACACATGATCATGATATGTGTTATTGGTGACACATGTCACCTCCTAATTAGAAGAAATTAAGTTACAAAGAAGTAAAATTTGGGTCTTGGGCAAACTCAAACCTGAGTCACGCAAATGAAAGATATAGGTGGAGCCACTAAGCTAACACCATCGTTTGTGTTAAGAGATATACAATAATACATATACTAATAGTATGACCAATGCCAGAAAAAAAAGAATAATGTAAAATGGAAATAATGAGATTTGAACTTCGGCAAAAAATTTGAAAGCAATAAATGATGGGAATATTATATTTTTTACAATAAAAAAATATTATATTGATAAATTGTTTGATAGATTTAATATTTTTTAAATATTAGTTGATACAATATTTTAAAAGAATAAATTTAAGATTTATATATTTTTAAACTAAATTTAATAATTATATTTTTCATATTTATAATTCATGATTATATATATAATCTTAAGTTGAGTATTTCTAAATAATTAATAATTTTAATTTCTTATTAAAAATAAAATATTCAAAAAATATAATGATTCATACATTAATATATGAATATATTTTTTATTATACATCTAAATATATATACATTTATATAAATATATTTTTATTCGTTGTGTCTGTGCCTTGAACTCTTTCTTCAAGCCTATATTACCTTAAATTGAAGTATTTTAGAATTTAATTGAAGTATTTTAGAATTTAGGGTTTAGAATAAAATTGAATTACTTTGGAAATTGGGGTTTAGAATGAAATTGATGACTGTTTTGCAAGTTTTAAAAGTTGGGGGACCGAAATTCAAGTGACTGAAAAGTTCAATGACCGTTTATATAATTTATCCTAATTTTCTAACTGTGGTTTAAGTTGGGGGACCATATTGCAAACGGAATAAATGTTGGGGGATTGTATTGCAAGTTTTAAATGTTGGGGGACCTAAATGCAAGTTTCAAAAATGTTCAGTGACCATTATTATACTTTACCCTTATTTTAAGGGTAAAGTATATCATATGTCAATTATATGTTAGATAGAAATTTAAATAGTGATCCACTGTAAGCGTAGGCTATATTATAGTAATGATATTATTCGAAATTGTTATTACATAATTGCTCGTAATTATTATAATAACTTTCGTTATATCCGTAAACATAATAAACAAAACATAAATGAAAATTTGATTGAAACTACTATTACTTTTTTTTTATGTTAGGTAATAAAAAATATTATTTTTTTAAATTCTAAATATATTATTTAAATATTTCACTTAATTAGAATATTATTATAAGTATATTACTTCATTATTAAATTGAAATACTGAGTCGAATCAAATTACTTTAATGGTTAAATTAACTATTATTATTCTTATAAGTTATGAGTTCGAGCACCAACGACTACAATAGGGTGATTGAACATTTATTGTCAAATGGTATGAGTCATTGAATAACCTTAGTGATACAAATAAGTGTTGTTCTCCTTGAAAGTCGAGTTCAAGTAGTTGTGTCATAGAGTGTACATTGTCAATAATTAAAAAAAAAAGATTTTTAGCATATATTATATCGTAATCACTTTATATCATTAAAAATTTGAAATTAACGTTTATTTGATGCTTCACCAATTTAATTTAATAGTATTTTTGTTAAACTATGTTTTATAATATTTTGATATAACAAATTAAGGCAAAAATATTTTTGGTGTTCAAAGTTTTCAAAAATAATTCAAAATCCATTAAACTAGAATTTGAGCACAAAACGTTTTTCTGGGTACGTAGCATCGATACTGTTCTTACAATATCGATACTGCATGAACAGTACCGATACTGTTCACGTGGCATTGATACCAAAAGTAAGAGAAGTATCGATACTCTATAGGTAGTATCGATACTACCAGTTGTTTTCTAAATAGCTCAAATCCCATAATGCAAAATAGGTATCGATACTCAAAGGGGTACCGATACTACTTTATACTGTGACATCGATACCATGAAGCATAGTATCGATACTGGTCAAGCCCAATGGTCTTTAACAGCTAGTTTATTTAAATATTACAAAGGTAGTACTGATACTCATTAAAGGAATACTGATACTCCCTATTCTGGGTAGTTTTATTTTGCATAAAAATAATCCCCAACTGCTAGAAACGACCACAAACTCATTCAACTTATAAAAGTAAGTTGAGGACACTTGAAGAAAAGTTAGAACACCTATCCAAGCAATCAAACACAAGAGAAGAATTTTTCATTCTTATTTTATTTTTTCTTGTAAACATTGGTGTTTTAGTGAGCCTAATCTTGTAAACACCCTACATTTTAGAGATTTTATTGTTTACATCTTTTTCCTTTTGTAAAAGATGATTGGTTTCAGTTTAGCCTATGAAAAGCTAGGGAGTTGTAAATGTTATCTCTTTATTATGCAAAAAGAAAGAACAAATTAGTGAATTTGTTAGAAAATCCTTAGTGAGGAGCTAAGGTAATGGATGTAGACTTGACTGAAAAGTTGAACTACTATAAATCCTTGTGCAAATTTTCCTATCAGTTATTCTCATTACTCCATAAACTCAAAAAGACAATTCACCCCCTCTTGGCAAATTGTTCGGTTGTTCAATTGAACTTCATCGAAATCCCAACAATTGGTATAAGAGCATGACTCATTAGAAGGTCTAACAACCTTTAGACGATCCTTGATGAAGCTCTATCCATTTTCAACACAACCGAGAAGATGACTTCCACCTCTGACTCGTTCTAAATGGAAGACTCCCAACCGATCGACAAGCCTCCATACTTCAATGAGCCAACTACCGTCATTGAAAGAAATTAATGAAGCTATTCATCCAATCCAATGATCTTGATGCATGGGAGATGATCGAGAACGTCTACTCTTCTTCAAAGAATAAGACGAAGGAGTGGAATGCCCATGAATGGAAGAAAACTCAACAAATGCTAAAGCCATGCACATGTTGTTTTGTCTATTTGGTCCCGATATTTATGAAGGAGTTTCTTCTTGTTCGAATTCCAAGGAGATTTGGAATAAGCTCGAATAGATTCATGGAAACAATAAAGAATAACCAACAAAGATGGTGTGCTTAATGGCTCTTGAGAAGCCCGATGCATCTTTTAACTGTAGTGAATCTAATTCATATTCTTTCAATGAGTTACAAGATGCATACGATGAATTATATTTTGGATTTCGAGACTATGAACTCCAAATATAAGAAAATGGTATCAAAATTTAAAGTTGAAAATGATTTTCTCTTGAAAGCAAAATTGGATTTTGAAAAGCAAAATTGGATTTTGAAAAGCAAAATTGGATTTTGAAAAATGATTTTGAGCTTTCAAAAACCAAAATTGAATATTTGGAAAAAGAAAATCTTGAATTGAAGGTTAAACTTGGATGCTTAATAAAAGAAAAAGAAATCATTTCTAAAAATAATTATTCTATGTTAAAAATGACAAAATGTTCACATTATCATTTTCATGGTCAATGGGAACATACTTGCCATTTAAAGAAATGAAAACATTTAAAATTAAACATTCAAGGATCCAAAGCAACTTGGATATCAAAATCCAAATAAATGTCTCTTGTAGGTGTGTGAGAGCAATGGTGATGAAAGTGAATATATTCAAATGCTCTAGCCACACTTGATATGGAATGGGTAACCTCTAAGCTTAATGTTTTTGTTTTGATTAATTGGTTGCCTTGCCTATTTGTTGTATGCATGCATGAGTTTTGAACTTAAATGATTTTGTGTTGATTTTCTATCTCATGCATGTTAAAAAGTGTATTATGATGGACATTTTAAAGTTTTAATGATTTTTTTCATAATTTTTAGTTCATCATAATTAATTTTGGTCAAAATTGGTTTTAAATGTTTTGTTTTTACAAATTTTAATTTTGACATAAATTTAAATGTTTATGCTTGTGATTTATTGCAAATGATATATCTCTAACAATTGATATCAATTTTTCAAATACATAACATTTTTTGATAGTTTTATGCACATGCACTTAAATACAAAAATTGGTATTGCATAAAGTTTATTAGACTTTGATATATTGAATTTCTTGTGCTACTAACTTGTTTGTTCATCTTTGTTGAAATTCAATGTCTTTTAAGTGTCAAGCTTTTAAAGTCAATTTTTTTTGTTTAGAATGCTTTTATTGAGGGGAGCTTTGATTTTTCAAATGATTTTATGCTAAAATTTACTACTTACTCTCCATTATTATTTTTGAACTTTAAAGTTGAATTATTTTTTATATAACAAAAAGGGGGAGAAGTATAGATTTGAAAAATTCAATTTCTCATTAAAAATGGGGAGCTTTAATATTTTACAAATATTTATATTTTTCATGAAATATTTTATTAAGGGGGAGTTTTGTCAAAAATAATTTTTCAAAAGTTTTGTTATATCAAAAAAGGAAAATTGTTGAACTATGTCTATTTTGATATAACAAATTAAGACAAAATGTTTTTGGACTTGATTGAATTTGTTCAAAGTTTTCAAAAATAATTCAAAGTCCATTAAACTAAAATTTGAGCACAAAACGTTTTTTTGGGTATGAAGTATCGATATTGCATGAACAGTATCTATACATTCACGTGGTACCGATACCAAATGTAAGAGAAGTATCGATACTCTCTAGGTAGTATCGATACTACCAATTGTTTTCTAAATAACTCAAATTCCAAAATGCAAAATAGGTATCGATACTCAAAGGGGTACTGATACTACTTTACACTGTGGTATCATTACCATGAAGCATAGTATCGATACTGGTCAATCCTAACGGTCTTTAACGACTATTTTATTTAAATATTACAAAGATAGTATCGATACTCATTAAATGAGTACCAATACTCCCTGTCTTGGGCAGTTTTATTTTGCAGAAAAATAATATTCAATGGCTCCAAATCATCCCCAACGACTAGAAACGACCACAAACTCATTACGACTTATAAAAACAAGTTGAGGACATTTGAAGAAGAGTTAGAACACCTATCCACTTGAAGAAGATTTAGAACAACTATCAAAACAATCAATCACAAGAGAATAGTTTTTCATTCTTATTTTCCTTTTTTCTTGTAAATATCAGTGTTTTAGTGAGCATAATTTTGAAAACACCCTACCTTTTAGAGGTTTTATTATTTATATATTTTTCCTTTTGTAAAAGGGGATTGATTTTAGCTTATCATGTGAAAAATTAGGGAGTTGTAAATGCTATATCTTTATCTTGCAAAAATAAAGAACAAAAAATAGTGAATTTGTTGGAGAATACTTAGTGAGGAGCTAAGGTAGTGGATGTAGACTTGGTTGAGAGTCGAATTCACCTCCTCTTGAAAAATTATTCGGTTGTTCAATTGAGCTTGATCGAAATCCCAACAAAAGTTTAATTATTTTATGACATAATCTAATTAATCAGTTGATTTTATTCGACATATTCATTTAGTTTGGTAATATAACGTAAAAAAAGTAAATGATTAAATTGATTAAAATGTTAAATATAAAAAATTAAATTTAAACTAAAACTAAATTAATATAAATATATAAGTTTTGATAACTAAAATTATTATTATATGAACTTTACATCTATTGATATATTTGTTAAATTGATTAAAATGTTAAATATAAAAATTAAATTTAAACTAAAACTAAATTAATAGAAATATATAAATTTGATAACTAAAACTATTATTATATGAACTTTACATCTAATGATATATTTGTAATAACTTTTTAATTGAGTGATATGTTTGTAACTGTCAAAAAAGAGTGATCCATTTATTACAAAACATATAATTGAGTGATCTGATGTGTATTTTATCCAAAAAGTCACTTTTTAATATAGGGTAAATTATACATTCAACACTTAAACTATCAGTTTTGATCCATTTTAGTACATAATTTTTCAGTTTTTTCAAAAGCATACCTTAAGTTTAGTTTTTGTTCATTTTTTTTCAGTTTTTTCAAAAGCATACCTTAAGTTTAGTTTTTGTTTCATTTAGTACTCATCCAAAATTTAACGTTAAATTTTTAGAAAAATTAAAAGTTTAGGTACTAGAATGAACCACAATTAATAGTTTAAGTACTAAAAAATTAAGTTTTTAACGATATGATACTAAAATAAAACAAAAACTAAACATTAAGTGTGATTTAAAAAAAATTAAAAATAAAAATACTAAAACGAATAAAAATTGATAATTTAAATATTAAATATATAATTTACACTTTAATATATTATCCAAAATGAAAACGATTCGAGTCATGTCTCGAATACTGACTGAGTGGACTCAGTAGATATTTTTTTTCTTTATTTCAAATAGGACTAATATATTTTCCGCCATTTTCGAAACGGCGTCAATTATTATAATCACTAAAACAGAAATAATTCAAAGAGACAAATAAACAAGCACACAGTCACTACACTCTATGTATTGCTTTTTCAACTACTAAGCTTCCTTTTTTCTTATCTTCTCCAACTTCTTTACCTTTTTTCCAGCTATGGGGTTTGCCCCTTCTTCACAAACTTACATGCTTTAGCTTATTCTTCTGCTAAATTAGAAAAACCCTAGCGGTAATACTACTCCTCACCAGATCTACATTTAGGTAAGGCCTTACGAGATTCTCTCTTTCTTCCGCTTTTGCTTTTGCTTTGTTTTTTATTCCTTTGGGCTTTTCTCTGTTTTTATCTTTTCTCGCCGTTAGATCTGAGTGACAACACTTCAGTTTTAGCTGAAGAACCTGCATTGTGCGCTAGATCCGAGCACGATCTTTTCTCTTTGTATAATTCGTATACCTGAGCTTATCTGTCGAGTTCTTGTTCTTTGTAAGTGATTTTATTAAGAAAAAATGGGGGTTTTTTTTATTTTTTTAATTTTCGGCGTATTTATGTTTTGGTTGCATCGTTATCCGTTTGGTAGCTAAGAAAAAGTGAAGAAAGTGGGTAGGAAAAAAGAGCTCCCCATTTTTGTTTTATTTATTTTTAATTTTTATTCAATTTGGTTTTAAAGGGTGGAAAGAGACACCTTACTTATGCGTCGGTTACAGTGAGTGCGCATTATTAACGTTTAAAGTCGATACTTCTTTTTTGCTTTCTTTTAGTTTTTAACCATTTTTTGTCGGTCACCAAACTAGGCAGTCACCTCTTATATTAGAATGAAAATGAAATTAAGTAGAACTTTGGTAACCCTCCCCCGCTAAATATGGTGTGCTTTTGAAGCAACGGGAATTTAGAGCTTATTTTGGCCAGGGTGTCTTAATTAATTTAAGATTTAAGGGGACCCCAATTTATTGAAAGCTGCTCTGTCTAGTTCCTTTCTTTCTACTTTTGTCACTGGGAATTTCTTAAAGAGACGACAATGTGGGAAAGTATCAATTTTGAGTTTGTTTGATTAATACTTCAATGGGTTGAATGACACATTTCTTTCTGATTTGCTAGAGCTTGTATTGTAGCATAAAATGGAGGACCCCGAGGTACAACCTGGTGAAGACCCGGTGATAAAGTCCCTGAATTTGGATCACCAGTTTGCTGAAAGTCCGGTGGGAAGTGTGAGTAAGGTTGCTAAGCCTAGGAAATTTAGTGAAGCAGCAGAGACAAAAGTCTCAACCCCGGCTAATTCAACCAGGAAGAGAAGTGATACTAGAAATGGAACTGAATTAAGTTCAGGTTTTGCCAAGTCAACTGTATCTTCTTCACTGAGATCATCCAGTTCTGTTGCTGTTCCAAGAAGAAACAGCACAGGGGGCGTGTCTGAGAAGTCATCAGCCTCTAGTGCAAGACTGCAGAACAATGCTAGTTCTATTGCAGGCAAGAAACCCACTGCCCTGTCGGCTACTGAATCAGTTAGGCGGTCCCTACCTGAAATCAGAAGAAGTTCACTGCCTTCAGCGGCGACAAAACCCACATCCAGAGCAAACTTTCCAGAGACCAGAAAGTCAGTTCCAGTGTCTCCGGTGGGTCGAAGTCTAAGTACATCTACTGCATCTGATACAAGCTTACAAAAAACTGTGAGAAAGTCCAGTGTAAAGCCATCGTTATCAGCCTCTTCATCTTTGAAAAGGCTTACTTCTTCATCAGTGGACAGCACTGCGAGTAGCACAAGTAGAAAGACAATTTCAAAGCTTTCTTCTCCAGCCACACGCTCGCCTACTGTATCCAGTGGTTTAAGAGCTGGGTCTCTGTCCACATCCCTGGATAGGAGTTCTAATTTATCTGGGCGAAAGAAAACGGTGACCCCAGACAGTAGAGATTCACGTTTTATTGTTCTTCCCCAGGTGGAGACAAAAGCTGGTGATGATGTGGTAAGCATACCTGTTACATGGTTACATCATATAATATCTGATGGTATGCATCAGGATGTTAACATTGTCCACAATTTAGTCATGGTTATTATAGGTATGCTTCTGGACCTACTCAGTCTCTTTCTAGGATGAGCTGATTAACTCTCCAAGTAGCTATCTCCGAGTAGTTTATACTGTTATTAAAGTTGTTTTCTTTTTTGAATTTATCTACATAGATATACATCTCATTATCCTTCAATATATAACTTTGTGTGTTAATGTGAATGTTATACTTTCTATGGCTTTTCAATGGTTCGTCATCAAATGTCATATTTCTTCCGGGTAAGCTTCTAATTGATCTAGTTGTTTTGTTTCTCCATTGCATCATCAGAGATTGGATCTTAGAGGCCATAGAGTGCGCAGCCTTAATGCCAGTGGCTTGAACTTGTCACCAAATCTAGAGGTAAACTGATTCTTTTATTAGACGTATTAATTTATCCCATTTTATTGGAATTTTTTGTTTTTTTTTGCATTTGAGGCTGCCCCACACCGGACTATTTCCCTTTTTTTCTTGTAAAGCAATGGTTGAACTTCCATACACTTAAGGTTCGATAAGAGAAAAAGCACTTAGGTTGCTAGTGTATGTGTGGCTTATACGTGCCGCTCCATCATTTGGGGCGTTTTCTATTTTTAGGTCTGATTTGTTAGGTCTGATGTGCAAAATCCTCAATACTGAAATAAGTATCGGTTCCTTCAACGTTATATAACTATAAAGCGTGTGTGTGTGTGTATGTGTGTGTGTGATTATTTATCTAGCAATAAGTTTTAGAGGCAGGGAAGAGGGAACTTAGAAACTGAAGTGAAATCAGTCTGATCTTATTGTTCAGACTGGCTGGAATATGTCATGAAATCAGAATATTACTGGAGAAATTTTCTTGAATTCCATATTATTGTCATTCTGCTGATTGTTTTATATGGCAGTTTGTTTATCTCAGAGACAATCTCTTATCAACAGTGGAAGGAGTTGAAATATTGACACGAGTGAAGGTTTGATAATTTATGAACCGCACACTGTCTTTTGTGTGTGTCGAGGCATACATTGGAACTGATTGATTTTATTTATCTTTATGAATAAATTGGTAATTTATCTTTCCAGGTTCTTGATTTGAGCTTTAATGATTTTAAAGGGCCTGGATTTGAACCTCTTGCAAATTGCAAAGCTTTACAGGTTTGCCATTCTAGCATACTTCTCTCTTGAATGCTGAGAGAAAATATTGGTTTCCTCCATGCTTCAAGGTCCTTATTTATTGCTTGTGCAGCAATTATATCTTGCTGGGAATCAAATCACTTCACTTGCAAGTTTACCTGAGCTACCGAACTTGGAGGTGAGCTCTTAAAGTTGTATCTATCTTCAAGATCATTTTCCAGGATTCACATTTAATTTTAGCCTTCTAAATTTTTGTACTTTTTCTTTGTTGTTCCCTTTTTTCTCTCTAGTTTCTCTCTGTTGCTCAAAACAAGTTGAAGTCCCTTTCGATGGCAAGTCAACCTCGACTACAGGTTTACATTCAGTTTTGATTATTTGATTGGTATTGGTTATTCTTCAAATATTTTTGACAGTATATATAAAAAAATATATTTTTGACAGTTTATTGTGTACTATTAATATAATATCGTTCATATTTCCTGTGCAGGTCTTAGCTGCCAGCAAAAACAGAATATCAACTCTAAAGGGTTTTCCTTATCTTCCTGTTCTTGAGGTTAGTGAGTGCCTGGACTTTATGATATAAGCTGGTATGTATCACATCATGATGTGTTTTTTAATTGTAATGTGGCACAGCATTTGCGAGTGGAGGAGAACCCTATACTTAAGATGTCTCATCTGGAAGCTGCTTCAATTTTGCTTGTTGGGCCTACCTTGAAGAAATTTAATGATAGAGGTACTTCTAGTTTTGAATATCTATAAGTTTGCATTAGAGATACTCGTCAGAATTAATAAGGGGCGTTCTTATAGATCTTTCCCGAGATGAGCTAGCACTTGCAAAGCGTTATCCTGCACATACAGCTTTGTGCATTAGGGATGGGTGGGAATTTTCTCGTCCAGACCATGCTGCAGGTTTGAATTTTGTGATAACTCCTTGTTTACTATTTTCTTTGCAAATTAAATAGCACCAATATAGGCATGCAATATGTACACATGGCATGAGATGTACTTATCAAAGCATTCACTTTGAGATTTCTTGTGTTGCTACAGCAGTAACAGGAAAGGGAAAAAGATAAAAATGTAGTTATACCTTGACATTTTTATGTTATCCTAACTTTTTCTCCTTACCGTATCTTAGGCCATAAACTTTTAGTTTTTTTCAAAATATTTAAATATTTTGTATTTTTATAGATATTAAAATTTTTGTTGTGTCTACAATGCCCCCCACCCGTATAAAAGACCTGGTTTCACCCCTGGTATTTAATGTATGGTTTTTTCAGCAGATTCTACATTTTGCTTCCTTTTTGAGCAATGGAAGGATAATTTTCCTCCTGGTTATCTGCTTAAAGATGCCTCCATTGACAAACCTTTTGAGGAGGATGCTTGTCGCTGTCACATTGTTTTTGTTCAAGAGAGCACATTGAGCACTGATTCAGATATAATCTTAAAGTATCAATGGTTTCTGGGGGAGAGAACACTTTCAAATTTCATTGCTATTCCTGATGCCAATAATGAGGTAATTGATCAGGATAGTTTGTCACTTCTTCTGTAAACATATTTGGGGTGATAAATACTTCTATTTTATGTTTTGTAATGTCATTTTTTCCTTAATTTTATTATTGTTGGCTAAATATGGTATCATGTGGTTGTCTAGGTTTACTGGCCGAAGCATGAAGACATTTATAAAATATTGAAAGTGGAATGTACTCCAGTTTTAGGGGAAACCGATTATCCTCCAATTTTTGCTATATCATCTCCCGGTGCGCGAGGTATATACTTTGTCTTTTGGTTAATGAGTTTTCCGTAATTTTCTTCTCTTTTTTCGCAATATGCCTTAGTGCTCATGCATGCACAGAGCAGAATCTATACACAAGTCTTTATAATTTTATGCACCTGCATACTATCTGTTCATTTCACTTTGTAGTTTGTACAAATCTGTCTTATTTTCTCTACTTTTAAAGCTTGCTTCTCTGCCTTTTGAAGGGAATGGAATTCCAAAGGTTATAAACCTTGAAGTACATGGTGAACTGGTGGAAGGTAATGTAATCAAGGGTCATGCTAAGGTTGCATGGTGTGGTGGGACTCCTGGGAAGGGTGTTGCTAGGTAAGAATGCTTCTTAGTGTTTTTAGGACTTGCCCATTACTGATATGTGTACGTTTGTGGATTTCTTTTAAATAAACTTATGGATTTTGGTCTTTATGTACACACCAGTTACAGAAGAAGGTGCCAAAGGGGAGCCACAGTATAAGTATACTGATTTTGTAAAAGCAGGTGTGTGGGGAAAATTTATGCATATCTCAGCTTTGATATGACTTAATTTTGTCTTCTATATTTATGTATATCCCCGTTGCATGCGATTTATATAGCAGTTGTTTGCATTTCTATTAACTGGTTCACATTGTTGTATGCATGTAAGCTGCTAACTATACCTTGTTATGCCATTTCTTCAAAAGATATAGATATCTTGTTGAAGTCTTGACATCTTTGGAAGTTTAACTAGGTTTGTACTTCCTGTTGAGTCTGCTTCTCTTTCTGTTCATTTTACAGTTCAAGAAAGGTGTTCTAAATTGAGGACTTAATTAGATGTTATAGGAGCTTATGCCTGGCTTTCATCTTCTTATGTGTTTTCTGTTTCGAATTCCAATTTTAAATGACTGAAATATATTGGCAGCTCCTCCATCCGTCAATAATGTCCGAATTGTTGGAGATGCTGTAGAAGGGAATGTCATCAGAGGAGTTGGCAATTACTTTGGAGGAAGAGAGGGTCCCAGCAAGTTTGAGTGGCTACGTGAGAATAAGGAGACTGGGTTAGTACACTTTTAAAATGAGTACTTTGGAGAATTAACGGATTTAATCCTTTCTCCTCATGCGTTAACCTAGCCCCCCCCCTCTTTATATCTATCATGCATTTCCTTTTACATGAGTTGACCCTTTTCTCTATTGTGCATATAAAGCTTTGCAAACTTATTAGTTTGATGTTTTTTCTTTTGCAAAACTGTTTCCAAAAATTTCCATATATCTTCGTATTTTATACAGTTTGTTATTTTGCCTTATTTTCTTACAGCCTTCTTTTTCACTTGGCTCTCTTATGTTTATACATGAGTATACATTCTGTTGTATGGAAATAATTTCTTAATCATTCCTTCATTATGTTGATTGAATTTTTTCCATTAAAAATCATCTAGAGGTTTAATCCCAACATTGTTTTCACACAGTTTTCTTGCATTATATTACCTTTAGTTTAGTTCTTCACACATCCTTTTACTGGAATTTGTTGACAGAGACTTTCTGATCGTTACAAGTGGTACATCTGAGTATACCTTGACCAAAGAAGATGTTGGGAGATGCTTGGCTTTCGTATATATACCTATAAACTTTGAAGGTATATCCAATTCATCCTTGTTTGAAATTTTACAGGATTTCTTACCAGTACAACCGAGCAACTTGTAAATCATATGTTAATGTGGTAATATTCACTTTCTTTTCAGGACAGGAAGGGGAATCTGTGTCAATAGTCTCTGGTACTGTGAAGCAGGGTACGCTTATTTATGTTTATATCTTCTGGGTTATTTATGTTTTGTCATTGTTCGATATTAAATTGGTAGGACTAGTATATACATAATTAAAAAGTTTGCAATTGAGTAAACAGATATCATTGTAATTAAATTCCATTTTAAGAGGTTTTGCTTGGTTTGCTTTTAGAGTGAATTCTTAACCTATTTATTCTGCATAATGCATGAAAAAAATAAGAGCCCACTGCAACCTGTGGTTGACTTCTCTATCATCATTACTATAAAATAAAACTGTAGGGCTTACACCTTTTTAATATTTTAACAATGTTCACTAGCCCATGACATCATCCTTGTTGAATGTTAAGCCAAATAATTTTTCTCTTTAATTTTTATGGTGAGGTATTTTCATCTGCTTATACTGATTGCAAGCTATTGTTTATGTTCCCAGTTTGCTGATCATTTATGCTTTATTAGTTTACACATGACATTACCATCTTGGAGCGAGACATATTATCTATGATATAATGATTTCAGTCTTATTTAACATTTATCATCCTTGTAGATAAAAAACCTGTTATGGATTTCTTTGTTTTTATGATCTTATTTTTTTGAATTTCCAGCTCCACCAAAAGTGACAAATGTTAAGATAATTGGTGATTTGAGGGAGAACAGTAAGATTACTGTGACTGGTACTGTCACGGGAGGCACTGAAGGTTCAAGTAGAGTACAATGGCTTAAAACAAATTCTTCAGTACTTAATGGTGAGAATGAGCTTGAAGCACTGAGCACATCCAAGGTTGCTAAGGTTGGTTGTTATTAAAACATTTGCACATGTAGTCTCTCATCCTGACATTTATGCTTGATGCAAACTCTGAGTTGAGTTTGACCTTCATTTAGGCATTCCGCATACCTCTAGGAGCAGTTGGCTATTATATTGTTGCAAAGTATACTCCGATGACTCCTGATGGTGAATCTGGTGAACCAGTTTATGTTATATCAGAAAGAGCAGTAGAGAGTAAGCATTTTCGTTTCCTTCCTGTTTATGTGCTTATCATGTTGGATTTCAGTGCAAAGAGAATAATAAATAACAGAAGGTTGAATATTAACTTTGGATATTGATCTCAACCCTTTTTTGAGGTTTTTTAACAGTTTACTTATCTGATTGATGTACATTTATGCTTTTAATCTGTACAGCTCTCCCCCCCAGCCTGAATTTCTTATCTATCACGGGTGATTATAATGAAGGTGGAATATTGACAGCATCATATGGCTATATAGGGGGCCATGAAGGAAAAAGTATCTACAATTGGTACCTTCATGAGGTATGTATTTATGTTAACTAGGGTTCTCATATGGCTTTATTAACTTGCAAAATGGTTTAGTCCCATTTTTAAGTTTTGATGTTTTAAATGTATTAAGTTTCATGTGAAATTCTGTAATCATTGGATTCTTCTCTAATAAGAAGAAAAAACAGTTCCAAAATATCAAGAAAGAATAAAGGTGTTAAAAGCATCTGACTTAAGCTTTTGTAAATGAGTTTCACTCTTACTAACTTATATGTTCTTGGGATCTGTAGGTTGAAAATGACACAGGCATTTTGATTCAGGAGGTTCGGGGGCTTCTTCAGTATCGAGTAACCAAAGATGCAATTGATAAATTCATCTCCTTTCAGTGTATTCCGGTGTGTGATGATGGGACTGTAGGTGAGCCAAGAACCTGCTTGGGACAAGAACGCATTCGTCCAGGTGACATTCCATCTTTTATCTCAGCATTTCTTATTTATCCTTTCTTCATCCAACATGTTAAATTTTAACAAATTGAAAATTTTCCAGTGGAGTTCAAAACAAGTAATTGTAATAATTTACTTTATTGGAAAATGGAGAAAAAATATGGAATCAGAAAAAATGGCACTTAGGAGAAGTTTGTTAAATAGGATTGCAAGTTTTTCTCATTTGAGTCATTTTCATCTTAATGGCTTAGTGTTTCGTCTTGCAGTAGGGCCTAGAGGTATTTTATTTATTCAAATGAGCAGTTAGGATGTTCTTAGAATCTTAATATATTGATTTCTTCTGAATTCCATTATAAGTCGATTCTATCTATAAGTTAACATGTATACAAATTCTGGTGGTTTAAAGAACTTAAGAAATAACCTATCAAAGCCCTAATAGTTGGCCATGACTAAATCCTCAGTCCCTAACATTGTATATAGTTGTAATGCTCTCGCTCAAGTTTGTATAGATGTTAATCATGCCCAAATTGTTATGGAGCTATTCAACTCAAGTTCCTGTTAAAATCTTATGCTTATTTCACCTAGCTGGTTTCCTGTCTTTCATGTATCCAGTAGAGATGTATATTGCAAAGTGATAATCAACCTCATTGTGCTTAGTTTGCATATGAAATACATTTTCGGTGTCCGCATTGTGACATGTCAAATATGGAATGAACTTGAGTCTACATTTTCTTTATATCTAACGTCCTTTTTAACTTTCCTTTTAAATATGGATTGCTGGTTATTTTTCATTCATCTAAGCCCTATGTTCTTGTCTTGCTCTTATTCTAAATGTGAATATGTTTTGGTGCATTCATGGTTGCTAAATTTGGAATAACTGGATCCAGTTCTTGTGCTTTGTGCTTCTTGATGATCAGGAAGCCCAAGATTGCTAGCACTGCAGATTGTTGGAAATGCTGTTGAAGGAACTATTTTGAGTGTTGAGAAAAAGTACTGGGGTGGTGAAGAGGGAGATTCAGTTTTTCGCTGGTTCAGGGTAATTATCTGACTTTTTTCCTGTAAACTACTATTTTCTTCCTACTCTTATGCGTTATTCATGAAACGTTGCTACTGGTATTCTTCGTGCTCACATGAAAAATATAATTGGTATTCTAAGCTGAAGAAGATGAAATTTTATTTGAATAATTATTAAAGTTGTAAAATTTTATTCTCTTTTAATATGTATATCTGCAGGCTAGTTCAGATGGTTCTCAATGTGAGATTAATGGTGCTAATGGCTCATCATATATGCCATCAATTGATGATATTGGCTTCTTTATTTCGGTCTCATGTGAGCCTGTGAGAAATGATTGGGCTCGCGGTCCCATTGTTCTTTCAGAACAAATTGGGCCTATTGTAGCCGGTATAGAGTTAACTTTCTAATCTAAAACCTTCTTTTCTTTTCCTATTTTTCATTTCCTTCTTTACCTATTGGGTTACAATTGTTTCAATCATTAATGATGGAGATAGGTGTTATCTTGAAATTGAATTTGAAATGCAGGTCTTCCTACTTGTCAGTCTTTGGAGTTTCTTGGATCAATGATGGAGGGACAACGTTTGAGCTTCATCGCTTCATATATTGGAGGGTGAGACTTGTGGTGATATGCAATCATTTCGATGAGAACTGATTCTTATATCCTAATTGTAGTAAACAGGCACTGTAGAACTGAAATCCTTGTTTTTGATTCAGGGAGAGGGGAGACTGTTTGCATGAATGGTTTAGACTGAAAAACAGTGGTATCAAGGAGAAACGAAGTAGTGATGGTGAGTTTTGTTATTGAATCTTAACTAAAAGTTTCTAGATAGCTATTTGAGGTGCAAAGCTGAAATTCTTGCATATCTTTCTAGAGTTTCTGGATTTAACTATTGATGATGTGGGAAGAAATATTGAATTTGTTTACACTCCCATTCGCAAAGATGGAGTCAAAGGGAATCCTAGGAGCATAATATCTGATGAGATTTCTCCTGGTGAGTTGTACAACTCATTATTGTTTTTTTTTTAATTTTTAAATTTGTACACTCGATACCATGCTTATTCCCATGATTGTGTCCAAAATTTTCTTGTATCAGCGGATCCAGTAGGTTTGGACCTTATCATTCCTGATTGCCATCAGAACCTGGAGATTGTCCCACTGAAAACATATTTTGGTGGACAGGAAGGTGTTGGAGAGTATACGTGGTATAGATCAAAGAACAAATTAAATGGGTCTGTATTGGCAGATATATTTAGTTCTTCTGAAGATGTTGTTATCTGTGGTCAGGCATCGTAAGTTTTAACATTGCAATAGGTTTCAGGATGTCTGTATAACTTTTGCATGTGTAAAGAGAACATTTATTGATACCTTCTACTTTGGCAGCATGTATACTCCATCACTTGAAGATGTGGATGCTTATTTAGTATTACATTGGATACCCACTCGGGTTGACGGGAAATCAGGAAAGCCATTAGTTGCAATTTCCAATTCACCAGTTATTCCAGGTATATCTGAGATTATTCATTATTTCTTGTCCATTGTGAATACTGAATAACATGCACTTGCCATTGATATTCATGGTAACTTTCTTTTTGAGTTGAATGTTTTGAGCATTCATATTATGTTAATGCTACATTTGTTTTGAACCGTTTCATGTATCACATTAAATGCAAATATATTGCAGCACCTCCCGTTGTGTCTAGTGTTTGTGTGAAGAAGCTGGATTCAGGGATGTACTCTGGGGAGGGAGAATATTCTGGTGGCTATGAGGGGTCAAGTCTCTTTAGTTGGTATAGAGAAACTAATGATGGAACAATCATTCTCATCAATGGGGCTAATGCTAAAACTTATGAGGTTACTGATGCAGATTATAACTGCCGTTTGTTGTTTGGGTAATCATTCCATTATACTCATTTTTTGTTATTTAACCCTCATAAATTTGATATCCGGTCATCTTATTGCATAAATTTTAGCTGTACTTATTCATTTTAAGCTGTTAAATGCTTCTCTCAGGTACACACCAGTTCGATCAGATTCAGTTGTTGGAGAACTTAGGCTGTCTGAACCATCTGAAATTGTTTTACCTGGTAAGCAAAACATTAGCCTTTGTCTCTTGGGAGCGAATCATTATTTGAATTAATGATTTCTTTAAAGGAAACAAATTGGGATTTGGGAAGACTTTTAGAATTTCCTTATTTGTTGGTTATATAGTCTACCTGTATCTCCTGCCCCATCTGGTGTAATTCTGCTGCCCTTGTATATTTCTGCTTCAATTATGTGAGTTCTGATTCAAGCCTGTTTACTTAGGCCTGAACTTGTTTCAGCTAACCAGATTATAGTTCATACCAGCAACCAATAGATACTAGCACTGTTTTGGTATATGAGAGGAGAGTATTACTATTACCAGCATGTCATAGATTTTCTATCCAATCCTCGACCCCTTCTCCTAGAACTTGAACACATCCCAATTAATATTTAGTACAACATATTTCTTTAATTATTTTTTGCAATTTGAAAAGCATTATTTTGATTTGAATTTGAAAAATTCCTGCACACCAGAGCTTCCAATGGTAGAGATGCTTGCTCTTACCGGAAAGGCAATCGAAGGTGATGTACTAACTGCTGTTGAAGTGATTCCAAAAACTGAAACCCAGCAATGCGTTTGGAGCAAGTACAAGAAAGATGTGTTCTATCAATGGTATTTTCACATCATACATAATCTTGTTAAGATCCAAAGCAACCACTGAAGTCTATAATACTGTCTTTCTTGTGGTTTTTTTTAACATGAAGCTGAATTAAGAACGAAATCAATATGAAGAATTAAAAAGCATTGAACATGAAGAGGCAGTGAAAATGAAATTTTGTTTTCATATCTTGTTTTAATGTAACATATAAGGTATCCTGCAGGTTCTTTTCATCAGAAACAGGGGATAGAACATCCTTTGAGCCATTACCTTCACAACACTCCTGCTCTTTTAAAGTTCGCTTTGAGGAAATTGGTAGATGCCTAAAATGTGAATGCATTGTGACCGATGTGTTCGGAAGGTCAAGTGAGCCAGTATATGCTGAGACTGCTCCTATATTGCCAGGTTATTTGCATTTCACATTCATTCACTGTATTTACTCCCAAGGAAAATTCTCTTTAACAAATTCATTATGGTTATAGATTTATAGCTCATTCATTCATCATCTGTCATCATGTTTATGAGCCTGTCATCAAGAAAGATTTCTCTTGGGTGTGTTAGAATAATTACTTCTACATGAGCTACTCACCATAACTAAAATTTGATGTTCAAGAGTCCTTTAAAGTTAAATGTGGGTCCATTTTTTAGTTGGGATATAAGAATTACTAATGCTGTTGCTTATATTAAGAATCATTTGTTGATTTATCATTCGGCTCCTTTATTTGATAATTGGAGTTCTCTTTTTCTTCAGGCTTTCCAAGAATTGATAAGCTTGAGATTGAAGGAAGGGGCTTTCACACCAATTTATATGCCGTGTGTGGCACTTATTTTGGAGGAAAAGAAGGAAAAAGTAAAATTCAGTGGCTTAGGTCAATGGTTGGCAGTCCTGATCTTATATCTATACCAGGTATGCAAAATCCATGAGTCTGCCAAGGATTTTAGATATCTATATAATTGTTTGATTGAATTTCCAATCATTGGATGCCAGTAACAATATATTTCCCCCTCGTTTTTGGTCAAAAGTTGATAATATAATTTCTTGGTAATAAATATTTTTATAGCATACTGGAATGTCCTGGTTCCAATCCTTTTACATTTCTAAGGATTGACTGATCTGGGGGAAGAAGAAGAATATACTGCCTGGCTCCTTCCTTAAGATATCAAATGTCTCTTATGAGATTATAGGGAACTTATTTATCAACTGAATTTAAAGGCATAAAGTCAAAGTTCCAATTTTTTTTGGTTCTGAAAATGGATTGATCCTGCAGGTGAAACAGGGAGGATGTATGAAGCAAATGTTGATGACGTAGGGTACAGGTTGGTTGCTATTTATACACCAGTAAGGGAGGATGGAGTTGAGGGGCAACCTACTTCTGCATCAACTGAGCCAATTGCAGTTGGTAATTTCGAATTTCTTCTTGTTTAACTTGTTGAATGGTTATTATTATATTGTTGAAATCAGAGATTTAGAGGAAGAGAAATAGAGAAATTAGAGAGAATTGTATCAATCTTGTGTAATGCAAAAGATAATGGCAAGGCTATCTATATACAAGAAATAGAGCTAAGGAAAGAACAATTAAATTTAATCCCTAATTATCAGCTAATAAAATAAAAAAAATCCTAAGAATCTGTTGAAGGTCACAATTATTTTTTCTTAAAAGTTTATTGAAGTTTTTTATTGGGCTAATCGAATTTCTTCTCGTGTTGCTTGGTTGAGCATGAGCTTATCTAGTGTTAGATGATTTGTAGAGTTCTATTCATAGTAATTAGATGTGTATGTTGTCCCACAACAAAATATCAACTTAAACGTGGCGAAGGCACTTTGAATTGTTTTACATATTGTTCTTCAATTTTTCATGCATTTAATGTTTTTTCCTTTTGTTTATGTGGGCATTGTTTAAATTGCAGAGCCTGATGTTTACAAAGAAGTAAAACAGAAGCTTGATCTCGGATCCGTAAAGTTTGAGGTGAGATTATGTTCCTTGTTTTGAAGCAATATGTATTTCTTTTGACCATATATAAGTTTTTCCCTTAATATACGTATGTTGTGGTGTTGATGCATCTTTCTATTTTTATTACTATGAAGGCATGCTATCTGCCATTACTCAATTGACTTCAAAAGTCACAAGAATAGTTTAGGTTATTCATTATTTCGAGTTTTGTACAGCACCAAACAGAGACTTTTATTATACTTTATTTATTCCAATAGATGTAATGTCAATTTAGAAATATAGGAGCCAAAAGGAGGGAATAACATAGAAATCCACCTGAGACTAAATACTAGTTGAAAAATGTAAGACAGTGATTTGATACTTACAGATGGACTGACATAGTTTGTTAATATTTCTCGATTTCTGAGACTTACTGCTTCAATCTCTGGAACAGGTATTATGTGACAAGGACCGCAACCCAAAAAAGGTTATTATTTCATTTCTCTTTCAGTTCTATATACGGCTGTTCTCTTTCAGAAAGAAGGAATAATATATGCTTTTATCACTATTCATATTGCAGGTTCCAGGAGAAGGGTGTCTTGAGAGAAGAATCCTGGAAATTAACAGAAAACGAATCAAGGTTGTGAAGCCAGGTTCAAAGACTTCTTTTCCTACTACTGAAATACGTGGAACCTATGCTCCGCCCTTTCATGTAAGTTTGTTTCTTGACAGAGATAATTTTAGTTTGTTAGACAATGCAATCCTCATCTCTTCTCCTTTAGGATCTAAATGAATTGATAACTCTATTCAGGGACCTGTTCTTATTTAAAAAAAAGATTCTGGGGTGTTAAACTAGGGATGCTTCAGCTTAGAAAGCTTTGATCATTGTGCCATTCTTCCATAGTTCTTTTTTGTTAAAATCTGGCAGGTGGAAACTTTTCGTAATGACCAACGCCGACTTAAGATCGTGGTGGACAGCGAAAGTGAGGTAGACCTCGTGGTGCAGTCACGATACCTCCGAGACGTTATTGTTCTTGTGATCCGTGGTCTTGCTCAGCGGTTCAATAGTACATCTCTCAATTCTCTCCTTAAGATAGAGACATAAAACTTGGTCAGAAAACACAAACGCATCAAAAAGCAATCAAACTGTAGGTTTCCTGTTTAGGTCTGTATGCTTTCTCTCACCAAAGGTTTTTATCTGTTTCGGTGCCATTGTCGTCTTCATTATTTTTGCTTGTAAACAGTATATATTATCCAGTGTTCTGTTTGCACCAAGCATCGGCAGTGCCGATGTTTCACTTGTGTGTACATTATTAATTTGAATGACACTATTCTATTGACAATTGTTTCACTAGTGTTAACATATGATCATATTTCAATGGTTGACTTGTGATGCTCCTCCGCTCTCGAGGTTTGTAACGGTAGACGCCTGTGTTGTATCAATAGTGTCCTTAGCTGCATCATACTAAGCATGTTACTGTCCGAGAATCCAATCAGCTCGTTACTGTCGGAGCATGTGAAGAATCCGATGATGGAGTTGAAGATAGTCATGATGATTGCGGCATCGACTGGTGTTCCTGTTTTCTCTTTAATGGCTGCAAGGAACAGTGGTGCCACATGAGTGCGGCCTATGCGAGTGAAATACCGAGCTTGGTCAAGTACGTTAGCTAGCAAATCTATAGCCATCATGGGGAATGGATATACTCACCTTTTAGAAATTTTAAATTATCATATATTATTATTATTATTATACTTTTTATTTATAATTTGTTCTTTTTCCTCAGAATTTTATGAATTTGTTGACTCTTCAAATTTTAGAAGCTTGTAACTCTGACATAGAGGTATAAATGAAAGTTCGGTGAATTATTTGTAAACTGTTTGTATAATGTTCGTTTATTAAGTTAAATAAATAAGGATAAATAAATTTTTTATGTTCGTTTAATAATCGAACGAATGAACATGAACATATGCGCGTTCGGTTCGTTTATGTTTACGAACAAATTCATTTAAGAGCTTGTTTATATGTTCAACAATCTTGTTTAATTTTTTTTAAATAATGGGTGTAAATTTTTTTAGTTTTTATCATTTTTCTTTTTTTCCTAAATAATAGGATTCACTTACCCTTCTGCCCGTCCATATTGGGTTTTAATCGGTGTTCTTTTTCCCGGCAGTGATTGGGTTTAATGTAGAAACTGTACAATACAACAACGTCAAATTTAAGTATGGGATTTATGTATCACATTATCAACGCTAAATGAATATGTTTGCGAACGTTAAACGAATTCAAATAAACGTTAAATGAACATATTGTTCATGAACATTAAGCGAACATGTTCTCGAACGTTAAATGAAAGAACACAAATACCTTTAAAAATAAACAAACCAACAGGAACATAATATTATTCGTTCAAACTCGGTTCATTTACACCCCTACTAACATAAACTCTTAGTTTGCCCTAGACTTGTCATGCCCTTCAATTGATATTTCTAATAAAAAATTAAATACTAAAATAAAAAATAAATATAATTTATATGAGAAATTATCAATAAAACCCAGACAAAATAATAATAGACCATACTCCATCCAACCGAAAAACACTCATGCTAGCGTGGAGTGAGTGCTTGAGTGTGTAAACCAAAGGTAGCAAAAAATGCGCCAGCTGAGCTCTCAGGTTATCTTACGCATCTTCCCAAGACGCTAAAATACGCAGTCAGCAACTGACGACACCTTTCAAAAATTGTTTTATTGATAATTTGCCCCCTAGGTTATATTTAGTTTTTCAACCTGGTACTTCAAGTTTTTTTTTTATCAAAAGTACTCGTAAAGTATTGAAACGTTATGCATTTCATAATATTTTTCCTTTTAGAATAGTTTAGGATAATTATAAGATAATATATGTTCAGAATTTTTCATAATATATTGACAACACATACATAATCACAAATACAATCAATAACGGATTCAAAAATATTTTTCAGGGTGAGTATATATGTGTTAATAAAAAAAAAATCATATGAAGTGGACACAAATAAAATTTCAAGATAAATACATTCACTAAAATAAACAACTAACATAAAAAAATTCAAATTCCAGAGTGGAGCACATACTCACCCTGAATTCTACGCATATCCATCATTAAATACAATTGTTTAAATATGGATCCTCTAAAAAGCTTAGTATTCTCTTTTACTATCTAGTCTTTCAATCATATTTCATAATCATGAATGGTAAAAATGTGACAAGTGAGGCTTATAACAAAAACAACTTTTTAGGTATTAAACTGTTAAAATAAGTATACTTAGGGGACAGATTGTCAGTAAAACCCTAAACAAAACAATAATAGTCCATTATGGCCAATCCAACCAGAAGTCACTCATGCAGTCATGCTAGCGTGGAGTGAGGGGTTCAATGTGATGATTGAAGGTAGCAAAAAATGCGCCAGCTGAGCTTTTCTCCCCCATTCCCCTCTGGCTTTGGATGCTTCTGCTGTATTTGGCTATTTTGCTCACTCTTCTTCTTCTTCTCTAGCTAAGCAAACAATAAATCTTGAAGCTTTCCAACCATTGCTCTCATTTTCCTTCTGTTTCAAGCTTTGACGTTTCCTTCTTCATTGTTGCAGCCATTAAGGCATATTGGTTAATTCTGTCTTTACTCTCTTCTCTTTTTTACAAACAAAAAATTTAAAAAATAAGGGAAAAGAATAAGCAAATATGTCAGTTTCTATTACAGTCGCTTTTCTTGTCGTTTTATGATTTTTTTCCTTTCCCTTTGTTATTACTGATAATATAAGCATCTGTAATATAAGCATGGATCTGACTACCGAATCCCGTCGTCAAGCGGCGGCTCAGCTTCAAAACGAGGTTTCCTTTTGGTATTATAGCTTCTGTAAGCTCGTAAAATCTCAGCAAGAGTACGCAAGAACGCTCTGCCGGTGGATCCAACTTACTGATTGCCTTGTAACCGACAAGCGGCAGAGTCGTTGCGCATCTGCAGTTCGTACACTCTCTGAGAAATGGCAGCGTGGCTTAGAAAAATTACCTGATAAGGTAACTCAAGCAGCCTTTTAGCTGATCCTCTGTGCTATCATTTGGAGTTATCACTTACTAACCTCTGGTGAATGCAGGTGGCTTCAGATGCCATTAAGCACTTTTTGTCGGCCGTCGAATCTATAATCCGACAGCAGGCCGAGGAGCACAACCAGTAAAGAAAATCCGAGAAGCTCGAGAAAATGTTTCAGAAGGAGTTAATCTCACTAACGGAGATGGAGAAAAAGGCCGAGGGAAATGTTCTGAGCCCCAAGCATCCTTTATCGATGAAGCGTGCCAGAACCGAAGCCTTGAAGAAGCGAGTCGACACGGAGAAGACCGAACATCTAAACTCTGTCCAAGTAAGCAATACCATGATTTTAAACATCCTAAAAACTAGCCTTCCCAATGTATTTCAGGCATTAATGGGATTCTCCAAAGCTTGTGTTCATGCCTTTGAGGCCATTGACAGCCACAATCAACCGGAAGAAATTCCTTGTGCCTCGGAGAACTCGACAAACTGATTTTGTGCCGGGAATTGTCGAGCAGATCCGATCCTCCGTAATGCAGTGAACATGAGAGGATAGAATTATAATATATGTATGCATCTCAGTTTACTTTTCACCAGGAAATGCAAATCTTCTCCTACAGCAAACGTCAACCTCGTTAGTTCCTAATCTCTCTTGGAAAGCTCCTACATCGAAATATTGTTCGCCTTCGATATCTCCTCAAATCTTACCACGGCTCGGATCGAGGAACGGTTCGATCAAATCACCGTCGAACAAGTTTCATTTCTGCAGTTATCTTCTCCTAGTTGAATGATCTCCATTGTTTGTGGCTCAACCCTCCGACACCTTTTATTACTTCCAACGTTAAAATGAACATGATTATCAGCAGTTCGAGTATCTGAACCATCGTTTGAACAAAACATGCCATGGCACTCGCTTCATTCAGTAAGTAAATCACACGAACACATATAATTTTTAATAACTTTATATAATTATTTATGATTTTTTAAAATTTTATGATTTTATATTTAGTACAATATTTTAAAAAATCGACAATTAAATCTCTAATTGAAAACTAACACTAATTGAACTTTTCGTACGTTATTATTTCTCGTATCAACTATCAAGTCACTTGTTAAACTGTTTTTTTAATTTAACCACCGAAAATTAATTTATTAATCGACTAATCTATATTAAATACGGTAGAGGTCTATTTCAGCAACGATCTTCTCAACTTAATTTGTTCCATTTTCAATTAATTTTTGTTGTTAAATTGTTATTTAGTAGAATATCAGAAATATTGACAGAAAAATAACTGGATTATAGTTCTTAATTTAAAAACTTTAATTAAATGTTATTTTCAATTAATGGCTTACATGATTTTTTTTTTATTCTGAGATTTTTTTTTTCTGAGATTATATTAACTTTTTAAACTTATAATTATAATACATTTATATGGATATCATATTGAGAATTTTAATTCATGCTATTAAAAAAAGAATTTTAATTCATGTCCGTGTGTTCTATTAAATTTCAATAGTAAACTGAGAGTTCATTAGTATAATCCCAAGAAGAAACAAAAGAGTAACTGAAAGTTGGAAATTGTAACAGACTAGAGAGATCTTTGCCGCCTAAAACTAAAACCCTAGAAATTCTAAAAGCAAAACTACCTGATTCCCAGTATCATCCAAAAATCAAAAATAGATCAAAAAAATCTTATTGAACCACGCTTCCTTCTCTCCCATCGGAAAGCGAAGAACAATTCGAGACTCAACACACCGTGGCCGCCGAGGTTATACTGATGAACGAGGTGGAGTCGAAAGCGGCTCAGTTGGGTATTGATCTGAGTATCGATTTCAATTCCATTCAACTTCCTCTCGGTGAAAACTTCGGCATTGTCAGGTTTTAGACCCGTTTTTAAATAACTTCGGACTGATTTTGTTTGTTTGTTATTTGCTTTTCTAATCTTTGTTTCTTAATTTGGGCAGTGACGACGAGGATGTTTACCATGAAGATCAGCTGGAGTTTGATTCCGGGTTTGGAAATGTGATCGTCGTTGATAATCTCCCTGTTGTTCCACGCGAAAAGTTCGATAAACTCGAGGGTGTACTTAAAAAAATCTATAGTCAGATTGGTGTAATTAAGGAGGATGGCCTTTGGATGCCAACTGATCCTGAGACTAAGAAAACCTTTGGTTACTGCTTCATAGAGTATAATACTCCTCAGGTTCGATATTTGCAGCTTATATATATATATAACTTTGGTCTTATGGGCTTATGGCTTTAGATTTCAAAATCTTATTTGGTTTTCTGATTGTTTATGGTCATAGGAAGCCGAGCTTGCTAAGGAGAAGACAAATGGGTACAAGTTGGACAGATCACATATTTTCGTTGTCAATATGTTCGATGATTTTGATAGGTACTTGAGAGTTCCGGATGAATGGGCTCCTCCCGAGGTTAAACCCTACACGCCAGGGGTAATATTGTTTTGGTTGTTTGTAGTAAATGTATTTGATTCCGATTCTCCTTGCTATTGCTATACATACACATAGGCAGTAAAAGTGTTGATTAGTGTTGTGATATATACTGTGTCTATTCAAACATTGATATGAAGCGGCTCATAACTTTTCTTCATGAATAATTGTGTTTGTATCAATGGGTTAATACTCTATGTAACGATTTAATATGTATGAAAGATGGTTTTGGATTTGTTTGTGGCCATGGTAGTGTTGAAATTTTGATTTTGTTTTTGTATTAATATCAGTATAATTGCATTTAGATTTTAGTGATGGTAGGTACGAAGGTACATTGAGGGTGAGAGGGGTTTTTGTCCCTCTCAAAATTTTTGGTTTAATAGTATTTTAAATCGTTATCAGTTTTAACTTAAATAAAATTAAAATTTTGTTCCTCTTATTTTTTAGATTAAATACTTAATTAGTTTTTATTATTTTAAATTTAAATAATTTATTCCTCTGTATTTGATTCTAGTTCCATCCATGAGTGATGATAACTGTAGTTTTGTGTTTGGTATTATGGGGAGTTTGTCACTATTAGAAATGTGTTTCAAAGTATTATTTAACCGCTATATATTACAGATAATCTCAAGTCTTCTTTTATTGCACAAAACCTGTGTTCTCTCCATGATAGTTTCCTAGTGTTATGCATGTTTATCCGCACACGTGTGTATATATAGATATATTTCTTTGATGTCATTGCAGGAAAATCTTCAGAAGTGGCTTACCGATGAAAAGTCACGAGATCAATTTGTAATTCGTGCTGGCACTGATACGGAGGTTCTTTGGAATGATGCAAGGCAGTCTAAAACTGAGCTTGTTTACAGGCGCACTGTAAGTAGATGAAACTCTCGCTCTTTATTATGTATGTGTTACATTCATCATGGTTAGATATCTGTGTCCATATCTTTTGACCAAGGTGGCAAGGTGTAGTATTGGTTGAATTATTTTAATGCAGATCTTTTATGGGTAATTAAGCTGGTTGTCATTTTCATATTCAAATTTTAATACCTTATAATTAATTTTAACCTTTTTTGTTTGCAGTTCTGGACTGAAAGTTTTGTACAGTGGTCTCCCCTAGGGACATACTTGGCAACAGTTCACAGGCAAGGAGCCGCAGTTTGGGGAGGTGCTACTACCTTTAACCGCCTAATGCGTTATGCCCATCCTCAGGTTAAGATCAGACTTTTGGTTAAGATTTTCTCTGAACTTTGCTTCTTTTTTTTCACCTTTAACACTCAAACATTGATACAGGTTAAGCATATTGATTTTTCTCCTGCGGAGAAATTTTTGGTGACTTACAGCAGTCATGAACCAAGCAATCCTCGTGATGCAAATGTGAGCTTTTGGAACCAATTACATATTGCTTAAACTTTATTCTATTATTCAAATGTTATATCTGATATAATCTTATGTATTCAGAGGGTTGTGATAAACATTTTTGATGTGAGAACCAGTAAAGTGATGAGAGACTTCAAGGGTAGTGCAGATGAATTTTCAGTTGGAGGAGCTGGAGGTGTTGCTGGAGTTTCTTGGCCTGTTTTCAGGTGATCCTTTCTTCTGATAATCCTTCAGGAATCATGTGTTCCGCGTTCTCTCTGTCACCTTTCATCTCATCTTTGTGAGTAGGGCAGCGAACGAGAGTCAAGTTCGAGTATTGTTGAATTGAACTCGACTCGAAAAGTTTAAAGTTGAGCTCTACTCGAATTCGATAGCTCGCGAACTTAAAATTATCAAGTTACATTCGAACTCAAAATCAAATTTGAAGCTCGGCTTGAGCTCGAAAAAACTTGAACTCTAAATATTCTCAGATTTAGATCGATTGAAGCGAGAATTTGAGCTCAACTTTAAACCTTAAGCATATGAAAACCTTATACTGATTTTTTAATAAAAAACATATAAATATTAATATATTATTTTTTTCAAGTTGCTTTTGAGCTTTTCGAATTGGGTATCTTATCAAGTAGCTCATTTTGTCTCGTTAAGAATTTGAGTCAAGTTTATTTAAATTGAATGTTGATTGAGCTTTGACCAAGTCGAACTCGAGCTTGCGATCTATCTTGTCTCAATTACATCTTTATTTGTGAGTTTATCTGTATCTAATTAACTATATTGTCATGTTATAGATGGGGAAGTGGAAAAGCGGACAAGTATTTGCCAAACTTGGGAAGAATATGATATCTGTTTATGAAACAGAGACCTTTAGCCTTATCGACAAGAAATCTTTGAAGGTTGAGAATGTTGTGGACTTCAGTTGGTCACCAACAGACCCCATTCTTGCACTTTTTTCCTGAACTTGGAGGCGGAAATCAACCTGCTAGAGTAGGCACTTGTGCTTTGTTTGAGATACTTTATTTATAGAGATTTAGATTTAGATATCAACTAATGTGCCACTTGCACGAATATATCAGGTGAGTCTAGTTCAAATCCCGAGTAAAACTGAGTTGAGGCAAAAGAACCTTTTCAGTGTTAGTGATTGCAAAATGTACTGGCAAAGCAATGGTGATTATCTTGCTGTCAAGGCTGATCGCTATACGAAAACAAAGAAAAGCACATATACAGGCTTTGAGCTCTTCCGCATCAAAGAGAGGGACGTTCCAGTTGAGGTTTTGGAGCTGGATAACAAAAGTGACAAGATCGTTGCTTTTGCTTGGGAGCCCAAGGGTCACAGGTTTGCTGTGATACATGGGGATAATCCAAGGCCGGATATTAACTTTTACTCTATGCGAACTGCTCACAATACAGGCCGAGTTTCAAACCTCAGCACACTTAAAGGCAAGCAAGCAAACGCCCTATTCTGGTCACCCGGTGGACGTTTCATTGTGCTTGCTGGATTGAAGGGTTTCAATGGTCAGCTGGAATTCTTTAACGTTGATGAGCTTGAAACCATGGCGATTGCTGAATTTCATGGCAACGGATATTGAATGGGATCCCACCGGAAGGTAAGCCAAAGATAATTTGACAACATCTATAACGGGTTTACTTGTGTTATTTTCTATTTAGCTTAAGTAAAATATATATATATATTTTGCTTAAATATCTATTCTAATAAGTTATTCACACTGCATATGTTAGGTATGTTGCAACAGCAGTGACTTCTGTTCATGAAATGGAAAATGGTTTCAACATATGGTCCTTTAATGGCAAGCTACTTTACCGGATTCCAAAGGATCATTTCTTCCAGGTAAATAAATCATTCCTACCCGATGCAAAGCATAAATGATTATATTTGATTGTTGGTACTTGAGTGCCATGCATCAGTTACTTGGAGTTGGGTTGTATATTACAGGGTTTGGGGGCAAGTATTAAATTGTGGCTGCAATCTAGGGTAACGGTTGCATCATAATGTCGTTTGAGATCACCGTAATATCATAACTATAACCGCAACCTCAACATAAAAACATAGTTACCTTAATGAAATAAATCACACAATAACATCTATAGCTGCGACACCGTAGGCGCAACTTGCAACCGTAATTTAGTACTATTTTTGTGCCTAGGGATGGCAACAGGTCTAGTTAAGGTCGGATTTTTGGTCAACCCTACCCAATCCAAAAATATGTATCCTCCACCCGAACCCTCCATCCTACCCGACTTGAAAAATATATAGTCTCCACCAGACTCCGACTCGACCCAAATTTTTAGAATATAAATCAGACCTGACCCAACTTGATTAAAAAATAAGGATTTAATTAAATAATAATAATTTAAAAAAAAAATTATATTATTATCTTCGAGTCATGTCAAAATTTTTTCACCCTTTACCCGAACTTGACCTGATCTCACCCCTTAAAAATCCGACCCGATCTACACCTGATTTTTTTTAAAAATTCAATCTATCAAGTTGAGTCGAGTCGGAACTCGTTGGATTTGGGTTAAATTATCATCCCTGTTTGTGCCATTGAGCATTGTTCTCATTGTTTTGTGGGGACTTTGTTATTGCATTGCAGTTCTTGTGGCGCCCAAGGCCGCCATCCTTTCTGAGTCCAGAGAAGGAAGAAGAGATAGCAAGGAACTTGAAGAAATACAGTAAAAAGTACGAGGCAGAGGATCAGGATGTGTCGATGCTATTGAGCGAGCAGGACCGGGAGAAGAGAAGGTTGTTGAAGGAGGAATGGGAGAAGTGGGTTAGCGGATGGAAGAGGACACACGAGGAAGAGAAATCGGAGAGGCAAAAGTTGAGGGATGGGGAAGCTAGTGACGAAGAGGAGGAATACGAGGCCAAAGAAGTTGAAGTTGAGGAACTCTTGGATGTGTCGGAAGAAGTCCTACCTTTCGAAGACTGAAACATGAAAACACCACTTTTTTGTTGATTGTTTTGTTTATTGGATGTCATCACTTATTTATCATTGAATTTTGAGGCATCAATAATGGCGAAGCAATTTTTTTTTCATAATTATATGATTTTTTCCTAATTATATCTTCTAAGATAATTGCGTTTCTACTGTCAACATAACTACATCACTTCTATATTGTTCACTGGGACGAAGTACTCGGTATAAGTGAGAGGGCCCTGACCACTCACTCCCACCTAATTTTCATTTTGGATTTATTACTTATATTTGTATATTATCTATTTTTTCTGGTTGATTTCAAAAATTATAATATGTAGTCAAATTCGAGTTTTTTATTAAATTATGGTCACTATTAGTTAACTGTTAACGGATTAAGTGACATGGTTGTTAAATATTGTTGAATATTCAAGAGCCAACATTGTTGAAAATTAGTAGCAGTCGGCGGCTAAATTTGGTCCATGGTGGGCTACCTAATTTTGCTGAAAAATGGGCAGCAATTGTTGAAATTTAATAGGGTTAATTACACTTTAGTCATTGCACTTTAGGGTATTTTCAAATATTATTCCTTAAGCTTCAACTATAAATACCTTAGCCCATTTAGCTTCAAAATCATCCCAAAAATCATTTCTTTCTCCCAATACTAAATAATTTAGAGAGTTCTCTTGTGAGTAGTGAGTGTTTTGTAAACACCTATAAATTTTCTCTATTTAGTAAAAGATCTGCAGCAGTCTGGAGATGTAAGCAAAATTGACTGAACTCCGTTATCAATTTCGGGTATTATTTTTCCGCTTTTATTTCGCATTCTCACTAATCTGGTTATAGAGAAATTACTCGTTTATTTCCTAACAACTGGTAATCAGAGCTTTTGGTTGTGAATTTTATCAATTTTTTGCGAGATTACTATTCATTACTATTCACGTGAATAGTGAAAAAATTTGTCGCCGATATGAATTTGTCGATGGAGGTG